CACGTGAAAGAAATATGGTGATAAATACTGCAAAATGATTAATTTATCATTAATTACATATAACATTAATTATTTTTTCCTGAAATGTGTCTATATTTCCCTTTTATTTAAATCTAGTAATATTTTGACTCACCCAGAGTCATGCAGCTTTAAGTTAATAATTATAATATTCTTTTTGAAAAACATGTCTTTAGTTTTTTAAAATGACCAACAATTCTGATAATATAAAGAATTCCATCATGTGACCCTTACTTAAAAACGGAAAATCATGGCTAAACAAATAACTGGTCTAGGGGACATAATTATGCAACTAATGAAAATAAGTTCAAAACAAGGTCGACAGAGTAATATTTTCTTGGGTCAGAAGTAATAATCAATGATTTTATAATTACTGAACAAGAAATTACAGACATTTATGGATTCCGAAAATACACAATTTTACATAAGTAGAAATTATATTTTTGCATAACAGACTGATTCTCTGGTAGTGAAGCCAATGACTGAAATTTCATCAGACATGGAATTGCTAAAACAATCGCGTTATTTTCATCAACTAATTATATGAATGAAGAGCGTTAAAGAATGAAACTATGTGTCTGGGATGAAGTCATTTTGTCATTATGAATAAAGTTGTAAATTCGTACGTTATATTCAGGAAATAGTAATAATTGTAATGACATTGATTTCTATGAAAAAGTATCTAAGTATAATAGATTATGACAGAATATGCAAGAAAAAATATCTGTCATGTTTTTCGTATAAATGTAATAAACACCGGTATTCTAGTGTCCATTAGATACATATACATCAAGATATCTATGAGAATAGTACATACTTGAAATCAAGCTGTCAAGTTAACCAAAATAATATTTTACGTTAATTAAATGCAGGAGATATAAAGTGACTTTTAAAAAATTCATTTATTTTCCAAAGACCACTGGTTTCCTTCAATTCAATAACAACTCGGCCCTAGGGCAACCAAGCCCCAAATTTGGTCAATGCGACCTCAAAGAAAAGATAAACGCAGAAAACATTATTGGTTAATGCAAACTCATTAAAATCATTATAATGCAAAGACGAATTTTAACAAGCATAAAACAAATTCATAGTCAAACAACAATGATACACATATACATTTAGGAAATAACAGTTGATATATACAGTTTTCTGTAGAATTCGAATTAAGGTAGGACAACAGATAAAGTGTAAACGTATCAATTAATATTGCCTGTAGGACTTGACAAGTCTACGAAGTAGTTATATTGACCTACAACATATAACATATTTTCCATTCAATATTTCATTCCATATATACAATTCAAAGTCAAACAGTTCAAATAAACTGTAATTTAAAGCGAAAACATGCAGAATCATTTTATTACCCTAAGTGTATTCTGAAGTTTAATAGTATTAAAGCATTTCAACAGAATTTATCAAAAAGAGCTTTAATATAACAAGAAAAAACATTATTGCAAGCTGGCATATATTTGATAAATACTTGTTATAAGACAACGTTTAAATCAATCCTTTTATCGGGAATACTACCATAATAAGATGAAATAACCGTCGTAAGCATCATAACAAATCTTGTTGTGGTTATCTCCCTTTTACTAGTCAGCGTTAGTTATATTTACAAAGATCTTGAATAATGCCCTTTGTTTGAAATCATACAACAAATAATAATCCAGGTTATATATTATTTGTAATTGACATAAGAGTTCCAAAGTTTTGCTTTTTAGGCCATCTTCAAATATATTGAATGAAAAATTTCCTTTTTTACCATATTGAAGTATGAGCATTACCTCATCAAATAGGCTATAACTACTGTTCAAACCCAAGAAGGGTCAACTTATTTATTTCTTTACTCCTTTAAACATTATTTACGTATCTTTCATTCACTTTTGGGAAGAAAAAAGTGTTAAATGTTAATATAATCAATATAGTTTATTGCCAAAATATAATCTGATAACAAGTCGGGTTCAGACATACAGCAATCATGAAATAATAAAAAATATACTTAAATGAATGGGGCAATGTGAAACTTTTTCTGAAGAAAACAATATTTTTTTAAGATTAAAAAATTTTTAAAAAATTAGTTTCCTTTTACTTGTATTTTTGATAACATTTTTTTCATTTATTTTCGGGTTTTTTTGCCTATCTATTACACTTAGACATTTTTCAGTAGTTATAAAACCATTGATTATTTAAGTAACCAAGTTAATTGTTATTATCCAAGAAAGATTACTCTGCCGACCTTGTTTGAACTTATTTCAACATTTGCGTAATTATGTCCCTTTGACCAGTTATTTGGTTTTGACTATTTATTTCACATGAAGCCATTCTTTGTATAATCAGAATTGGTGGTCATTATTTTTTTAAAAAGTACGGGCATATTTTGCAAAGAATATTGTAATTTTTTACTTAAATCTAAATAACTCTGGGTGAGCCAAAATATCCTTAGATTTTAAGATTTTAAGAAAATATAGTCATTATTCAAGAACAAAAATACATGTTATATACAATGACTTATTTTGCTGTATTTATCACCATATTTCTTTCGAGTGACTAACTCATTAGTGGCTATGTTTGCATATTCACATCTATTTTGGTACTTTTTGTAGATTTTAATTACAATTTGCATTTTGTAAAATAGCTTTCTTTGTTCAGTTGACAATACTTTACTTTTAAAATATCTAACATGTGCATAAAATTTGCATGAATCTTGAGTGAGTAAAGGTGTAAGGGTAAATGTTATGCCTTTACCTCATGAAATAATGGTTAGGAATGGGTAAGGGTAATGGTAGTGGGTATTTTCACCAGAGCATCGCACATGAAGTGGGTAGAGGTCAGAGTTAAAGGTTTGTAAAGGTGTTGGTGGGTAATGGTGGATAATGTTATGCCTCAGGAAATAATGGTGAGTAATAGGGTAAGGGTAATGGTAGCGGGTAATGTCATCAGAGCAAACAAACAAAATCTATTTTAGTAACAACCTTTACTCAACTTTACCCTTCTTTGTTGCATGAAAGGTTCATTCAATTTTTCGGGATTTTTTTCATGAACTTCAACTGTCTGTAAATAATGTTTGAAATAAGATATCAAGATGAACTTTCTTTTAATACAACATTTAAATAATAGTCTCAAGGAATATAAAAAGATATAATCTTACCCGACGGTCATTTCGTCGGAAAAGGATGTATAATATATAGCAATGTTTGCCTAAAATTACCTCCGATTTACACTTAATAGATGCTTATAAATTAAATAATAAGCTTTATAAAAAAAAGAATAAAACATTCTAAGTACTAAATTATATTATATAAAACAGTGTCTGTAAAAATATAGTCGTCTCTGTGTCTGAGTCTGTGCGTAATTTAGGTTAAATCCTTTTTCTTAGAGTGTTCGAAATTTTATCACAATTGTTCGGATATTTGATAGATTTACGAATTGGTTCGAGTCCCACAGGCTAGCAAAGTATATATCTATATCATACATGGTTGTGTATATACTATATATTTGTGGTTCATAGGGGTCTAGGCAAGTCATATAAGGTGTGTAATCGAGGTTTAAACATGTTTTATCACAATTATTGCGATACGCCCGGTTCGAGCCCCACAGACCAAGTATACATCTGTATCATACATGGTTGTGTAAGTATGGGTTCCGCTAAAGAATGAGACCACTTGTAGGTATATGTGTGATTCATATGGGTCTAGGCAAGCCATACAAGGTGAGTGGTCAGGGTTCGAACTTATATTTTATCACAAATATTCATATATTTAATGTATTAACGGCCCTGTTCGAGCCCCACAGGCTAAGCATACATCTGTACATCATGTGTTTTCGAACACAAAGAAGTCGAAGGAATAAAATAATTTTTACAATCAAAATATCCAAACACTTCAGCGCCATGATTTCAAACGAATCCTTCTAATGTATAAAAAAACTTGTATACACTTATCTTTTATCTTTAAATGCATTTGGTTAGATACTGTTAAATAAAAGAATATTGTAACATCGTGTTAAATGGTGTTAAAGTGTAAAATCATGCTTAGGAAATAATGATTGTGCGCGTCAGATACTCGTGTTCATTTTTAAAGAAAGACATATCTGTGAAATTCACGCCTAAAGCTGCATGCTTCCAGATGAGCCAAAATATTTCTTGAAAATCAAACTTGAGATAAATGTACTAAAACTTTAAGAAAAGTAAAAATATTCAATATTCAAGTATTAATTTAAATATTGTACGATTATTTACTGATTTTGTAGTATAAATAATCATATTTCTGCTAATTAAGTTACTTACTCAGAAAAAACTATTTTTGCATAATTTGATCTCTTTTCGGTAAATTACGTGGAATGTAAGCGCTTTAATTTTGCAATGTGTAAATAACTTTCTTTGTTTTCTGTTCCCGTCACCTTTTAAAGACTTTTTTAATTTTCATAAAAATTAGCATGAATCTGGAGGCATGCTGCTTTAACGACGTCCAAGTTGTAAAGTTAACATTAAATGTCTTAATTCCTTGTTCAAATATTTCAGATTAATTTAACATATTTTATTGCATTAAATACATGTCAAATATTACACAAATGTTGAGTATATTATAACACAATATTCAAATATTTTAGTTGTTTACAAGTATACAGTACGTCGGATATATTAGCAAAAAAGCAGAAGCATATTTGATATGCAAATAGAACCATATCAAGCACAGCAAAATACTGTAACGTCAATGATAGGAAAGACAACTCTGTTATGCTTCGGTGAGGTAATAAAGCCAGGCCTAGTTATCTCAAGTTCGACGCTCTTTACCAATTATACTGGAGCGGTCTAAACTTAACGCCATTATTTTCAAAAAATGTTCATTGACTGGTAAAATGAAAAGGTATTACATATACTTTGTCTATTCCCTATTACTGATACTATCTCTTTTTGCGAGTTGGACTATTTTTTGTACACCTTTTCGCGGATGTACACTCATGTGTTCAGTGTAACTCACGTAAACAATATCACTACGCTCGCACCTTGTAATGGCCGACGTATGTTAACAGGCCACAAACTACTAAACACAAATTATTTAGTTTTGATTAAATCCACTGAAAATTTATCCATATTTCTCACCTAGTTAATTTACAATAGATATGACTTATTGATTTAATTCGGATTTCGATTAATGCAATGGTTTAATTCGGACGGATTTATTTGAAGATGTGAACTAATTGAAAACCAGGTGTCCTAACTTGTTAATTATTTCGAATTATTTTAATTGAAAAATGGCATCAAAATGCAGGAAATTTGTACCAAATATTTTTAACAAGAGCAAATGCCAGACATGTTTCGGTTCAAAGGAACAACATTCCGCTGAAGCTCTCGAAAATAACAAGGTATGATCATTTTGTTTTTATATTTTTACTTTATAAACAATTGAAACCCCACCCACTTTATTACCTTAAAACTTAAGAGTAAATATAGACTCTGTAATGCGATTCTTTGAAAACACGTTAGATTTGGAATATTAAAAAAATATATGTTAATTACAACTGATTGCGAGTATACTACTTGCGGAGTGATGCAATTACTTGAGATGATGATGATGATGATATTTTAAATAAGATTAAATTTTTAAGATAATAAATTATTATCAGTATCCCAAGTTTTTAAATTTAATATAATATATTGCATCCATTTCTTAGACAAATGGAATTTTGTGCTTGTTAAAATGATAAGCAGTTATAAAACAATATATTTTTAAGCAAAGTTTATGTAAATAACCAGGGCTCTCGATTGACACGGGGATCCGGGTTTTGACTCGTGAAAATCAGGAAATGCACAAATTTGACACGTGATAAAATCTGCACAAGAGTCAATTTGCCACATGGGATTTTCAGCTATACCAATAATAATTACCTTAAATCCACCCCTAATTACCTATTTAATCCTACATATGTTCAAATCACACTCAATAAAAATGTCAACAGGTAGTATAAGCCGTGTATAAATTGCTTTACACACGGCAATTGTTTATAGCCTGTGCACTGAAGCGTGACAATTCAGTGTCTGCAATTTGACAGCGCTAAAAATAGCTCAACAATTACACTTGAAGTGTCAATTATTTATTGTTTTTAAAGGTTTATAATTCGTCTTTGATTTTCTTGGAGTACCTGTGCATTTGTTATTTCTTTTTCCATTAAATATTCCTACTACGTGTTGGTATTTAAAATTAATATGAAATAGCATACCAGTACAGATATTTTTTATATTTTATACATTTAATCAGAAAAGCTTCTGCTTATTTTATTCTTTCACAGCATCACAGCAATTAATTTTTTTTGTTTTATTTGTTTTTTGTCTTTGTTTTTTTTTTTTGGGGGGGGGGGGGGGGTATAGACCTTTATAACTAGACATTTTTTTCTGTCAATTTAGACTTTAGAATCTACACAAAATGACCTCCAATACAGTAATTTTTGTAACATATTAAACAATGATTCATGTAGTCAAATGACACTAGAAAAAAATGATTTGACTCATGAAAATTTTGGCCAAAGAGTCTTTGACTCGTGAAATTCTGACCCTACTGAGAGCCCTGTAAATAACATACTGGCCCATACAAAATTTGTAGTTACTTAAAAGCTATTGTCACAGTTCAGAACAGTTCACTTAATACGGGAGAAGATGTGTAAGCGGCCGTAAAGCTCAGTCGGTAGAGCTGCAGAAATAGTATTCCGAGGGTCCCCAGTTCGAGTCCAGGTCAGGCTGCACATTTTTCTCGCGCTGTGACACTATTTTTTAATATGATCACTCACTAGTTTCAATATTTCTACAGCAAGACCAACCAATTTTACAAACTTTTATTACATAGATGGCGACCATCATCTGTATATAATAAAAAGCCTTGGCGCAGAATTTGTTGATTAAGATCACTCACCAAAAAAGTTCATCCCCATGAGCATGATGAGGGGTTCAACATTATTGTAAGATAGATACTAAAGATAGGTAGAACAAAATTGATTGTAACACATTAATATTGGGCTCCTCACACAAATTATGGATATCCCATTAAGTTCTTTATATGTATAGAATAACCATTTGTAATGAGGCCTGATATGGGGTACCAACCTTACCCATTATTTTGTATGAAGATAAGTAAAATCCCATCGGGGAGAAGCTATTGATCCCTTGAGCAAGAAACGGAACACTCATTGCTCAGTTGTGATTGGTTCTAGGTTCTGTTTTGAGAGTGTGTATATAAACTTATGTATAACTTCCTGAACAATCAAAGTTCAAAGTGAAATAAATTTTATATTATCTGATAAAAGTCGTTTGTTTGTATTGTGAATGTATACTGGGGACCACCAAAACTAGACTTCCATCGAACCAGGACAGTCATGAAAATGCCTGATTTAGTTTTTTCTTTGTTCTGTTTTTGTTAATCAATCAATCACTTTTTTTATGTACAATAAGTTAATGTTTTTTCATTAAATTTATTATATTACACTCGTTAGTTTATGGCAATGTATTAATGTCTATTTCAAAGTGAGGTTGGCCTAATGGTTAAGGTGTCTGCCTCCCAACCCAGGGCTCAAGGGGTCGAGCCCCTCGGGTCACGACCATGTTTCTTCATATGACACAAGTATTGGTTGGTTCCAGGAAGAGGACTCAAAAGTGATTAATATAATATGATTTTATCTTGATTAAATCAATGTCATGCACATACAATGTACATGTATCGGCCTGGACACATGGTATATACTGTAGTGTGGACAATTTAGGTAATTTTGAAACCCTCTCCAACAGGCCTCACATATTAGTGTCAATATAATCAGAAATAAATAACTAGTTTGTTAGATAAGAGAAGAATCTAGCTGTACTGTGTCAAGTTTTCAGATCTCCAGCTTTAAAATTATGAAATCTGTATGGAAAAATGTTTAAAAAGTGTCCAGTTGGTGGTCCTACCCCGACCAGTAATGTAATCAGTTGTTTTCATGTCAGTCTGAGAAATAGGCTTACAGATGTACATTCTTTATAGTTAAGTATCTATAAGTAAGACAAATATATCTTCCATTTCAACAGACTCATGAACAATTCTCTTTGATGTATACTAGTGTAACTGGTATCAGTATGAATAAATAAATAATCACTATCATGTAGGTGACCCTGCAGAGTTTACCTGTGGTGTAAATAGTTTGGTAAACAACATTAGCTCATTGCTCAATTGTGCACATCAGTCTGTCTTAATTGATTCACAGATAAGACCTGATTGATAAACTACTACAATCAATCATAGTACATTGATCTACACATAATAATATGTCTAATTCAGCTGTTTACAGAATTATTTCCTACTTTTCAGCACCATTTATCAACCTCACTAAATTTTAGCATTTAATCTGTCTTGTTGGCTGTTGTCAGTATTACAGATTTCTTTAACAGATTAAAATTATTTCAAAACTAATACAATGTAATTACAGAAATTATTGCTTGGAAGCCCATCATCTACATATAAAGGTTATAATACACATGTCACCAGTTGGAAGTTAGTCATGTTATTAACTTAATGGGCAAGACAAGCATACATATATATATATCAGTATAAACCAAATTCTATCTTTATGAGGTGTTAAATTGTATCATTTTAATTATATATGACTCATGCTATAATAGAGAAAGGTACCTTAATACTGCTCATGAAAAGTCTAGGAAATATAACAGAGGTATTGATTTATTGTTACTAGATTGCTGGTAGTTGATAACTAATTATCATCATTTATTTTTAAATGATAACTAGACTTGATTATATTAGCATGTTGGCTATTGCAGATAAGAATTAAGATACAGACAAAGGTTCATCAGCTCTGGGCTTTGTTTATTGAGTTGATTTTATCTTTCACTAGTATAGAGATAAAGTATATAATTATAAACATATTGTTTATTGTATGAGTGTTAGTGATTTGTTCTATTTTAGTATTTTGATATTGAAATTTGATTTTGGATTGAAAGAAAAATGGTTGCAATTTTAATTCTGTAGTTATCAATGTATTGATCAGTCTGTAGTTTGGCATTTTGCAGCCAGCTTCCTTAAGCAAGCTATGATTTTTAGCTCGACTATACGAAGTATATGGAGAGCTGTCCTACTCGCCCCGGCGTCGGCGTCCGCGTCCGCGTCCAGATTTTAGATTAAAGTTTTGGTGCAGTAAAATATTTTTCACTATAACTTTGTCATTTCTTAAGGTATCAACTTCAAACTTGAAATATATGTTCCTTATCATCAACCACATCTTATGTGACAAGGTTCATAACTCTAGCACCAATATTTTCAGATTTATCTCCCCTTGAACTTAGAATTGTCCTTAAAAAATACTATTTTTTACTGATACTTCTTTATTTCTTAAGGGATCAACCTCATACTTCAAATATATGTACCTTATCATCATCCTCATCTTATGTGACAAGGTTCATAACTCTAGCACCAATATTTTCAGATTTATCTCCCCTTGAACTTAGAATTTTCCTTAAAAAATACTATTTTTTACTGATACTTCTTTATTTCTTAAGGGATCAACCTCATACTTCAAATATATGTACCTTATCATCATCCCCATCTTATGTGACACGGTTCATAACTCTAGCACCAATATTATCAGATTTATCTCCCCTTGAACTTAGAATTTTCCGCAAAAAATACTATTTCTTCTTTATTACTTAAGGTATCAACCTCATACTTCAAATATATTTACGTTATCATCATCCCCATCTTATGTGACAAGGTTCATCACTCTATCACCAATATTTTTCAGATTTATCTCCCTTTGAACTTAGAATTTTCCATACAAAATATTATTTTTTACTCTAACTTATTTATTTCTAAGGGGATCAACTTCATACTTCAAATATATTTACGTTATCATCATCCACATCTTATGTGACAAGGTTCATAACTCTAGCACCAATATTGCAAGAATTATCTCCCCATAAACTTAGATGAATTTACTAGAAAAATGTTATTTTTTATTTTAACTTTTTAATTTTTAAAGGTATCTACCTCAAACTTCAAATACTTATTCCTTGTCATCAATTACATTTTATGTGACAATGTTCATAACTCTTGAAGCAATATTTACAGATTTACCTGTATTTGAACTTAAGATTTTCTTTAAGAAATATAATAACTTCTTTATTTTTTAAGGTATCTACTTCAAACTTCAAATATATATTTCTTATCATTACACAAATGTTATGTGGCAAGATCCATAACTCTAGCATGACTATTTCTAGAATTATTCCCCTTGATCTTGGAATTTATGTTAAAAAATGTTATTTTTTTACTATAACTTAATACATAATTATACATAATTGATTTTTCTTTCATAGTTTGTCCTCCTTACTGCGTCCAGTATTTTATTAGTCGAGCTTCGCTGTCTCCTGTGACAGCTCTTGTTATTGTTCCTTTAGAGAAGAGGTTACATATTTATTATATTTCATTTAGGCTGATACGTAATATAAGGCTTGAATTATAAAGTATTGTAAGAAATTAATTGGCTATGCTTTGTAATGAATGAAAATAGTAAAATGTGTAAGTCTCATATTGTCATAAAGAACTGTAATACCACTATAAAATGTGAATGTTATAAGCTAAGGTAAGTTATGGAATGTTATATATGAGGTTTGATTTTGAATGCCATTGTATGTGCACATTTCCATACATGACGGTATAAGTTGGCTCTCTTGTTATGAATGAAGTTTAAATTTAGCTACATTAATTTTGTATACCGGGTATTTGATTTTTAAGGATCCTGCGCTCAGTTTAAACGTTACCTCTTAAAGGAAATAAGAAATATGGCCAATGTAAGGTCAAGGCTAAATATATTCTTAATACCATTTTTAGCCCACTTTGAAGAAGATTAGGGGGATATATTACTATCATGACCCTCTTATCAGCCTCAGGCCACAGCATTGGTTAAACTTTTTGAATAAGTTTTCATTTATGGTCATTAAATTCAATAGTTATAAAATTAAAACTTCCTTAATGTATGTGGATGTGCCTTGATGAATTGTACACTGACTTTGTGGTCAAAGGTCACAGAAACCTGTGATGGGTAATTGATTTAGGTCCATTTCTTAGAAACTACAAAAGCTATACAAATATGTAATTGATTTAGGTCCATTTCTTTGAAACTACAAAAGCTTTACATATTAATTATCTTTTTCACTAGTCACTTCAAACTTGGTATACTTGTTCATTATTTATCTATTTTAAGGGGAGCGGTGGCCTAGTGGTTAAGGTGTCTGCCTCTCAACCCAGAGATCGTGTTCGAGCCCTACTCGGGTTACGACCATGTTTTTTCATATGACAATTTACTGGTTGGTTCCAGGAAGAGGGCTCGAAAGTGCAAGAACTTGTTTCACAATTGAGCTAAAATAAATATGTTTAAACCATTATTAATGATGCCATATCACTAGGACAGATATTACTAAAAACATACATGTATTTTGCAAAGTTATGTCCCATTTTTTCCTTAGATTTTTTTTTCAGAGTTGAAATAAAGAACATAAATGTTTCTTCAGTAATGGTATGTTTTGTAATTAAGGTATTAATGATATACCTAAACCTACTGTGCCAGATACCTCATTTTACACAAAAGTCAGACAGACATTACAGTTTCTAATAATTCTTTAATTAAAAACACTGATTTACATGATGCTATAAATCTGTGTTCTATAAGACAAAATGAAAGAGGATGTTAGTGTATGGTTACATCATGTACTACATCTCAACAGATGAGTGAAGTCACTCAGTACAGGTAGAACTAACTATTCAAGACATTTTGAAAGAAGAAGTTTAGTTATGCCTCAGAAAGGATAAATATTTCCTTTTATAAAAAGGGCAAACATGAGATTTACAACGTTTAATTAATTATTTAAGAGCAGGTTAGATGCCTAACACCTTAAGAAAGTAGTGCTGAATAATATTCTTGGTAAAAGTAACAAAATAGTATTTTGACTTCCATACAAACTTCTCAAGCACTATTATTTTTCTTATTGCCAAAAAGGTACAGATGTAAAAGATGGCTCAGGTTATTGGCCCTTCAAAATATAACTGGACATAAAAAATAAAAAGTTCTTGAAAAATGAAAATAGGAGAATGTCTTAGGCTTAATGGTCAGTAAAATGTGTCACATAATCTTTCCAATATAGTATAAAATGTGTCACAAAAGTCTTCCTCCAGCATGCAGTAAAATGTGTCACAAAAGTCTTCTTCCTCCATGCAGTAAAATGTGTCACAAAAGTCTTCTTCCACCATTGCAACAGTAAAATGTGTCACAAAGTCTTCTTCCACCATTAAATGTGTCACAAAAGTCTTCTCTCCACTCATGCAGTAAAGTGTGTCACAAAAGTCTTCTTCCACCATGCAGTAAAATATGTCACAAAAAGTCTTCTTCCACCATGCAGTAAAATGTGTCACAAAAGTCTTCTTCCACCATGCAGTAAAATGTGTCACAAAAGTCTTCTTCCACCATGCAGTAAAATGTGTCACAAAAGTCTTCTTCCACCATGCAGTAAAATGTGTCACAAAAGTCTTCTTCCACCATGCAGTAAAATGTGTCACAAAAAGTCTTCTTCCACCATGCAGTAAAATGTGTCACAAAAGTCTTCTTCCACCATGCAGTAAAATGTGTCACAAAAGTCTTCCTCCACCATGCAGTAAAATGTGTCACAAAAAATGTGTCACAAAAGTCTTCTTCCACCATGCAGTAAAATGTGTCACAAAAGTCTTCTTCCACCATGCAGTAAAATGTGTCACAAAAGTCTTCTTCCACCATGCAGTAAAATGTGTCACAAAAGTCTTCTTCCACCATGCAGTAAAATGTGTCACAAAAATCTTCTTCCACCATGCATTAAAATGTGTCACAAAAGTCTTCTTCCACCATGCAGTAAAATGTGTCACAAAAGTCTTCCTCCAGCATGCAGTAAAATGTGTCACAAAAGTCTTCTTCCACCATGCAGTAAAATGTGTCACAAAAGTCTTCTTCCACCATGCAGTAAAATGTGTCACAAAAGTCTTCCTCCAGCATGCAGTAAAATGTGTCAAAATGTGTCACAAAAGTCTTCTTCCACCATGCAGTAAAATGTGTCACAAAAGTCTTCTTCCACCATGCAGTAAAATGTGTCACATTAAAGTCTTCTTCCAACATACAGTCAAGTGTATCACAAATGTCTCTTCAATGGCTTAGAAGTGTGTCACAAAGTTGATCTGTCACCAGTAAAGTGGGACAATCTTATTAATAACATGATTGTTAAACGTATGTAAGAAATGATAAAAATGTCTGTATACAATGGTAAAAATTTCGATACACATGAAACAGTATTTTGAAAGCAAACATCATAAGATTAATGTATTTTACCTTCTGTTTAATGTCAGATTTTAAAGTAGATACCACTGGAACTAGGCAATGTGTTTATGCTGATAGGCAAAAGAACTTAATTTTATGGAGGTACTTACTCTAAGTAACAGAAATACTGGAAATTCTTTAAAGAATTTGTGTAAAAAAAAGATATGCATACAGTATTCATACATGTACTGTATACAAACATGGTTACATTCGGTTGTCTTGTTTTCCCATGAGGTTGTATAGAGCAGACTTTTCTTGTTTTAAACTAAGAGAAATTTCTGTCCATTCAAAATACCAATTATAGGTATATATTATGTTAAGATGTTGAGTAGTGTACATTATATTGTCTTATGGAAGTTCTCAGTGTGATCATACAAAGATGTCAACTTGTAGTTACCGTAGAACATATACCATGAGGGCAGTCAGTCGGGATCCTAATTCAAGAAAATTGATTACTAACTACCGTTTTATACTTATGTCATATAATTACTTATTTAGTATCATTTCTTTTTCAGGCTTCAAGAAAGGTATCAAAGTGTGGTTATTTGTTTGTAGCTCCTGGATATGACTTCTCCAATCCTTTGGACAAAACTAGGGTAAGCTACATTTGTTACTATCTATTTATCTCTCTCCAAATTAAAATGACACATATAAAAGCATTTAATACATAGCATGTTTTTCTTGAACGCCATCCGGTTAGCTCAATAAACAGAGCGTTGGACTGTGAATCGGACGACCCGGGTTCGATTTCCGGACAGCGCAGGTCACTTTCATTGTGATTGATCATGAAATCCTTTCTATGGTCATTCGCATTGTATCTCTGCTCTGGCATGAACAGAAGTTTCAGTTCCTTGTGAAAGTGAAGGCAACTGGTACTGATATACTGCTTGACAGCATACCAAGAAACGATGCAGTGGTTGAAATGTGCTCTGGTGAATTCAGTGGGTTTCCTGTTGTGATCCGGAGTGAAAACTACCAACACCACCACCACCACCACATGTTTTTCTTGACTATTTTTATTTTCAAATTGACCAATGACATTGCTGCTTTGAGAGGACTGATTTGCTGCTTATGTTCACACATTTCAAATTGACCAATGACATTTCAGCTTTGAGAAATCTGCTTTGTTGGCTTGCATGTCTTCACACAATTTCGAACTGACCAATGGCATTAACAGATGTTATTTGTTTTGATTTTAACTTTTTATATGAATTATATGATGTATTTTGTTTATATCATAGATTACCCACATGTGTATAATACAGAAAACAAATAGCTTTCTGATGACTGATATAACGTGTACTATAATTTACATTCTGTCAAAATGGTGTCATTCAAATTCTTCAAGTTTCAATAATTTCCGTTAAAACCATCCAGCTACAGATTTGTTTACTGGAAAGATAAAGTACTGTTGACAGTAGGTGGATGTAATAACTAACCTTGGTAGACCATGTATACCACCACAAAACATAAAATACAGCAGGCTTTGATTTGTAAATGAATAAGTATTTATTTGATGATGATGATATCTTATTATATTACTATATCAAAACTAGTTATGTCACTGTCTTTAAGTACTTCCACACTCTTTGTGGTTACCATTGAGTAGGGATATTTTATGATGAGAAAATATTTGGAACATCTGTTTAAACATAATGATACATCAAAGGAAATTTTATTATTACATTTGGTATTGAGTTTTGTGGTTTTGATTGGTGTTGTTGTTTGTGGGGAGAAAAAGCAGGTCAGTACAGGATCCATTGAACTATAATTATGTACATATTTTACATATTTTCAAACTTTTATGTATGATACAGGATACTAGGTATTGGTTAGAATGCACTCGTATAATATACTCTATAATTGAAACCCCTTTCTTCTTTTTTTACCTGAAGAAATTTTAGGATAAAATGTATATATACATCAGACGTGTAGAAAATTATCAGAAGTGGGCAATTTTATTTTTTATACTATCATAAAGTAATCATATTTTTTATATATTTTTACTTCATCACAACTATTTTTTGCTCCTGGCTGATATATTGATATATATTTAATTCCTGCAGTTAAGAATTAAGATACAGATCAGTATAACATTATATAGGGTAAAGTTTACTTTTCTACCTCATTGTAGAAGAGCTAAACCATAGAAGAGCTTAACCATTAAAATGGCATGGAAGTGATAGTATTTGGTGTAAAAAGGTCCTGGGTTTGACTCCCACACTGGGCTGAAAGATGTTCAGTCTGTTGTATACATATACCCTGTACATGACACATATTTATCAATGCTATACATAGAGTAATATGTACACGATAAGGAAAACAGCTGACCATGCACTTCTGAATTAAATCTTGTGATTTTAAATATCAGTATAATATACAATACATTTTCAGTAATGTAATACAGTAGAGGAAAAATAATACTCTTATTTTTTTGGATGATTATATATTCATAATGTTAATATGTTGCTCTGAAAGCTGAAATATTTATGTAAATGAAAGCACCAGTTTCCTTATAAGTTGTCTTTGTCACAGTGAACTATTGACCCATGTAACTTATATGTAAGCAGACAGTCTTTTGTTAGACATTCTTTTACATATAAATGATATATAGTGTTTGTATGCATCGCAATATTTAGTTAAAATGCAAGATTTAGTTTGATATAACTATAGAATTTATGTCACATAACATCATATTATATAAGGTATAATGTATTGTACATTAGAAGCATTGAAAGTTTTGTTTTTTTTCACAACTGACATTCGGCCTGTCACAATTATTTTTACAAGTAAATATTCTACTAAATAAACTGCCTGTATTACATGGGCAAATCTGAGACAGTGAAAGGAAAATCCATATGTTAATAAGTATGATCCAATATGGTGTTGCAGACATACTGACATCTTACTAAATTTGGCTGAATATATAAATATATATAAATTATTCTGATACATAGTATTAAAGTTTTTGAAAAAAATTTACATCTTATTCTGTATAAAATAAAAAAGTTTGGTGAAAGATTTCACATAAATATAATATGAGTCGAGTCACGACAAAACCAACATAGTGCGTTTGCTACCAGCATGGATCCAGACCAGTCTGCGCATCAGCACAGTCTGATCAGCATCCATGCTGTTCGCTTACCAACTCTATTACAAGTAGATAAACTGATAGCGAGAATCAACAGCATGGATCCTGATCAGACTGCGCGGATGCTGGTCGCAAACGCACTATGTTGGTTTTGTTGTGACGCGGCTCAATTATATTCTACATAAATCATAGTATAATATGTAATATAATTCTGTGTTGTAGAGATGGCAGAGACGATTTTTTGTGTTATATGATGACGGGGAGCTGGCTTACTCTGTTGATGAAAATGTAAGTATACAATACACCAGAATAGATCTCACATGTAAATCTTAGTGGAATTAGTTATAACACATTTATTTTATATTTTTGTGATAAATACTTGAAGCTGATATGATCTATATTTATTGTAACTAACCAGTTCTAAGATTTTACCAGTACTGGCAGCATATCGTGAGGAAACATATAAGTGACTCCTGGGGATAGGGCTCAAACCCATGATTCCTAACAAGTCTGCCCCCTGGAACTTACTAGTACTTCAATCACCTGAGGAAACATGGCCAATGACTCTAGTATAAGGTTCAAATCCATGATTCTTTGTTGTAAGGTGTTAAAGCAGCACGCCTCCAGATTCATGCTAATTTTCATGAAAATTTTGAAAATGTATCTGAATGTTTGATATTGTGAAGTAACCAAATGGAAACAATTTACACATTTTCAATGCCACATACAACACGCGTAAACTACTAAAAACTGGTCAAAATATGCATAAATAGCCCTTTAACTGCGTTAGTAATGCAGTAGAAATATATTAGTTGTAAATACTGAAAAATCAGTCATTAATCGCACAGAACCTTTAAAATATTACTTGAATCTTGAATCTTTTTACATTTCCTAAAATTTTAGTACATTTTTCTTAAGTTGGATTTTATTGAAATATTTTGACTCATCTGGAGGCATGTAGCTTTAACCTAAACTACTAGACCACTAGTCACTCCTTGTTTTAGTCATACAATGTTTTGGACTATTTATGTTGTTTTTAATGATATGTGAAAAGGATTTTACCCAACTGTTGTAAGGTTAAAAATAAATCATATGTCTTTCTAGATACCCATACATTCATCTTTAACAACTCTCATTAGGAATTTATATAAAAAATTCATATCAAACACAAACTTTTAAAGTTTAAAGTTTAGGTATAAAGTCAAAAGATCTTTTGTCTGAATTCTTCAAAAGTAATAGTAACAAACAATCTATTGTTTTTTCTTTATTAAAAAGGCATGAATTAAGAAGAAATCTGAAATTGTAATTCATTCTTATCTTTACTCAATAAGAAACCAAAATTTATAGTACATGATTTGTGCTTTTTGCAGCTGTATGTTTTATTGGTTAAACTGTTTTATGAGTAATAAAATGCATCAGAAATTATGTAGATATAGCATGCAATTATAAAGAAAGTGTTTAAAATATTGAAGCTTTATGTGATATACTGTTTAATGGGGTTTTTTTTGTACAGGAGAAATGACTTGGTAATTTTACTGTCAGTGACAGTTTGTTATTGTACATAAGTATAGATAGATACTTATCAATGAAATGTGGTCTAGATTTAATGCCAGGAAAATTTGATCTTTTATGTCAATATCATTTAAAATTGTCTCCATTAAGCCAAAACGAATGTAACTTTACCCATGTTTAAAAAAGTTCTCAATGAAATGTAATTACCCGTGTCATATCACAATGTCATAAATATATGACATAAAGAGAGAAAGAGAAAAATGTTGTTATTAACATTGAATGAAAATGTTCGCTTGCAGACATATATATAAATTGGCAAAAATTCTGATCCTATCATTTTAATGATAGCTTTTTTAAATCATTATCAGGTAAATCACACAGTTTGTGACAATGATATTGCTTTCAAGTACTTCTGCTTTCCAAATATAGGCAAAGAATGACACTGTATATCATTTCTATTTCATGTTTACATGTTTACTTAAATTCACACGTAGTTTGATTACTGTATCATCATATGAACTTGTAAGGTCGTATGTCTTATACAGAAAAATACCTTTCTAAACCAGCGTGATGATGTCACATAGTGCGTCTTTTATTGTAAATCTTCGTGTTGGACATCTGTTTGTAAAAGGGATCACAACATTGGGCGAGATGTCTTTACGGGCAATTACTTGTTATTTATGTGTTTACCTATATCAAAGTATCTTTATTGAGCAATGAAGGAAAGACATGGTGATTGAGATTGATAGGTTATACATCACCTCATGTTGTGTCCTATATGATACGTTATTAACATCATCTTATGGTGTGTCCTATATGTTAGGTTATTTACATTACCTCCTAGTGCATCCTTTATGATAGGTTATTTACATTACCTAATGTTGTGTCCTATATGATAGGTTATTTACATCACCTCATGTTGTGTCCTATATGGGCATTAATTACTTGTTATTTATGTGTTTACCTATATCAAAGTATCTTTATTAAGCAATGAAGGAAAGACATGGTGATTGAGATTGATAGGTTATACATCACCTCATGGTGTGTCCTATATGATACGTTATTAACATCATCTATCATCTTATGGTGTGTCCTATATGTTAGGTTATTTACATTACCTCCTAGTGCATCCTTTATGATAGGTTATTTACATTACCTAATGTTGTGTCCTATATGTTAGGTTATTTACATCACCTCATGTTGTGTCCTATATGATAGGTTATTTACATCACCTCATGGTGTGTCCTATATTATAAGTTATTTACATCACCTCATGGTGTGTCCTATATTATAAGTTATTTACATCACCTCATGGTGTGTCCTATATGAAAGGTCATTAACATCACCTCATGTTGTGTCCTATATGTTAGGTTATTTACACAATCTCATGGTGTGTCCTATATGATAGGTTATTAACATCACCTCATATTGTGTCCTATATGTTAGGTTACTTACATCACCTCATGGTGTGTCCTATATGTTAGGTTATTTACATCACCTCATGGTGTGTCCTATATGTTAGGTTATTTACATCACCTCATGTTGTGTCCTATATGATAGGTTATTTACATCACCTCATGTTGTGTCCTATATTTAAGGTTATTTACATCACCTCATGGTGTGTCCTATATGTTAGGTTATTTACATCACCTCATGTTGTGTCCTATATGATAGGTTATTTACATCACCTCATGGTGTGTCCTATATGATAGGTTATTTACATCACCTCATGGTGTGTCCTATATGATAGGTTATTTACATCACCTCATGGTGTGTCCTATATGTAAGGTTATAACATCACCTCATGTTGTGTCCTGTATGTTAGGTTATTTACATCACCTCATGTTGTGTCCTATATGTTAGGTTATTTACATCACCTCATGGTGTGTCCTATATGTTAGGTTATTTACATCACCTCATGTTGTGTCCTATATGTTAGGTTATTTACATCACCTCATGTTGTGTCCTATATGATAGGTTATTTTCATCACCTCATGGTGTGTCCTATATGTTAGGTTATTTACATCACCTCATGGTGTGTCCTATATGATAGGTTATTTACATCACCTCATGGTGTGTCCTATATGTTAGGTTATTTACATCACCTCATGGTGTGTCCTATATGATAGGTTATTTACATCACCTCATGGTGTGTCCTATATGTTAGGTTATTTACATCACCTCATGGTGTGTCCTATATGTTAGGTTATTTACATCACCTCATGATGTGTCCTATATGTTAGGTTATTTACATCACCTCATGGTGTGTCCTATATGATAGGTTATTTACATCACCTCACCTCATGGTGTGACCTATATGTTAGGTTATTTACATCACCTCATGGTGTGTCCTATATGATAGGTTATTTACATCACCTCATGGTGTGTCCTATATGATAGGTTATTTACATAATCTCAAAGTGTGTCCTATATGATAGGTTATTTACATCACCTCATGTGTGTCCTATATGATAGGTTATTTACATCACCTCATGGTGTGTCCTATATGTTAGGTTATTTACATCACCTCATGGTGTGTCCTATATGATTATTTTGATAGTTATTTACATCACCTCATGGTGTGTCCTTTATGATAGGTTATTTACATCACCTCATGATGTGTCCTATATTATAAGTTATTTACACAATCTCATGGTGTGTCCTATATGATTTTTCTCTGTTCATATATGTTAATCAGATCTCTACAAGGATAGTCTTGTGACCAAACGAACAATATATGTTTGGTGCACACAGATTTTATTGCCTCCCTTTAAGTACTCTCATGTTATCAGAACTAGAAGGTAAAGTATTTGACACATGTCAGATTTTGCAATATGTTTAAAGCTGTGAACATTCCATTCTACCTATCATTCCAATTTTTCTCTCAATTTGAATGTACAGTACAGCTGTGTTTGTTGATAAAGTCAAAGATTATTTTCTTATTGTAGCAACACAAAAATAAAGATAACAATTAAAAAGCATGTTATAAACTTTGTAAAACTGCACAATAAGAACACATAGGCTACTAAATGTTTAGAAATGATGAATTTTCCCTTAGATGATGGTTTTCTTCAAATTAAAAGATGGACAAGTCTATATGCTAAATATTAATTGTTCTGTATTGTTCTCCAGATTTAACTACATCATAATTATGCATACATTTTAACTTCAAACAACTTGTATGAAAATGTTTGCAGGTTTGCCAAACATACATTAAGCACATTTAACTCTGGTATAATTTCACCCCTATATAAAGATATTATTTTGATATTGAATGACATTCAAACATAGACATTATAATATAATATCATAGCATGATACCATTACCTCTGTTCATGAATTTAAGATCAGTTAGTGTGAATATAAGGTCAAAAACCCCTACAACCTCTTGATAATCTCTGTTAAAAAATCTTCAATGCTAGAGATATCTGGAAATTTGATCACATTGGAACTACTTTGTTTCAAAAAACTATAAAATCAAGGGCACACATTTGATATTATCTGTTTTTCAATGGTAGTTGAGTGTATTCCAGCCTGATTGACAGGATGAGATTAGATAAGATAAATTATACATGGTACTTAATATGTTTAAGGGTTCTTCAGTTTTAGGAACTTCATGTTAAAGTATTAAAAATTAAGACGTTTTTTTTTATTTTATACAAAATAAACACTACATTAAAATTTTGAAAGCCAGTGTGCGAATTTACGCCCTATAAAATTACTACCAGAAATCGATTAAAGTTTTATGTTGCTATAAATTGTGCAACCAGTCTTAAGTTATACATGTATTTCTGGATATGAAGATTGTCAGCTCAGAGCCTTTTGGCTTTTTTAAAATGATTCTCTATTTATTTATTACACATATAAAGCACCTGGTTATTTGACTGTGACACCTATAATGTGTTAAAAGTTTCAATAATAGTAACAGCATAATGATAAGAATGAATTATACAAATTAACTGTTACAACAGTTGTTTTTTTACCTGTACTATATAGTAAACTATATAAGTTAGAAGAGATCTCTGGAAGACAAATTTTTAATGTTATATTGGTTCATGCAATAAAGAGGTGAAGGTCATTATGTAATCATTATGTACAATGTAATTAAAAGTGTTAAATATTTACACTCTCTATGAAGAAGGTAACAAGAACTTTTTAATTGGATATTTGTTAATCTGTTGGGGATCTTTACTTCATACATGCATTTTGTGCATTTTTGAGTAGGTTGTATATAAAGTAAAAATCTGTGTTATATACAATTAAAGCTATGGTTTAACTTTATAAGATTTTAGGATTGGCCAGTAGTAACTCCTTTACACACTAGGTGAATTAGAAATCCAATAGAAATTTACCAAGTGGTTGGTAGTAAAAAGATTATATTTTTCTCTTACTAATATAACAATAGACAAATATTTGTACAAGTTAAAAGCCAATTAGAGAAACCTGTTACACTGATAGTTTTAAGGTCACAGAATTATAGCTTCGACCTCATTCTTATAAGATTGTTTACTTAAAATATTAAATTAATTGATAGATTGAACTCAATAACATTTCTGGTACATAACCTTAATATTGTTGACTATCAGGACACAGTAGAAATTTTTTCTTTTGTTCTCTTAAAAGTCCAGTCTTTATATATTTCAAATGCATTCAATATTGTTTTGTCATATTTGTTTTTTCAATGTCATTGGCACTAGAGCATTAACAAGATTTTTTTTTTTGTTAAGCAATGTTTTTTGTTGTTTTTTCTCCAAAAGTAACATAATTGTAGGACAAGTAATATTTGTTAACAAGATGTAAAGTTCTATTTTTGTTACAGTGTGATGTCACCTGTTTCCTCAGAGATATCTATAGTCATGTCTAATTTATAGTTACAATGCCATCATCTGCCAAAATATTAGGAACATAAACATAAATCTGTTAGTATACTCCTCATATTGAATCATTTTCTGTTTAAATGATAAAACTACTACCTAGAGGATAATATTGTTTTGTTCTTAGATCAATATGTTATGGAACATATTTCACTGAGATGAATAGATAATATATCTTTGATAAAGATGAAATAATAATTTATCTCACTAATATATAATGCATCTCATTGTGATGTATGTACTATGTATCTCACTGAAATGAATATATTATGTATATTTATGTATCTCACTGAGATGAATATATTATGTATCTCACTGAGATGAATATATAATGTATCTCGCTGAAATGAATATATTATGTATATTTACGTATCTCACCGAGATGAATATATTATGTATCTCACTGAAATGAATATATTATGTATCTCACTAAAATATATATATATTATGTATATGTATGTATCTCACCGAGATAAATATATTATGTATCTCACAATAAATGAAACTATTATGTATATTTATGTATCACACTGAAATGAATATATTATGTATATTTATATATCTCACTGAGATGAATATATTATGTATCTCACTGAAATGAATATATTAGGTATATTTATGTATCTCACTGAGAAAAATATATTATGTATCTCACAATAAATGAAACTATTATGTATATTTATGTATCACACTGAAATGAATATATTATGTATATTTATATATCTCACTGAGATGAGTATATTATGTATCTCACTGAAATGAATATATTAGGTATATTTATGTATCTCGCCGAGATAAATATATTATGTATCTTACTGAAATGAATATATTATGTATCTCACTGAAATTTATATATATTATGTATGTATCTCACAGAGATAAATATATTATGTACCTCACTGAAATGAAACTATTATGTATATTTATGTATCTCACTGAAATGCATATATTATGTATCTCACTGAGATGAATATATTATGTATCTTTCTGAGATGAATAATATAATGCATATCTTTGTGATGAATATAATGTACTTTTGAGCAGGTAGTTCAGTTGAAATAGGACAATATTTTCACTTTGTTATAGAATATATTCAAACCAATACTTAAATGGAGGAATATTGGTGTTGCAAGAGAACTGTATACAGTGACAAATAGAGGATATATCTTATTGTTTATATCACATATTTCTTACAAATTTGTAATATAAACTGATTATATACATTTATAAGCATGTTGGTCTTAAAGCACTTATCATTTTGCAGCACTATTTTACGTTTAAATGTTACTGTATTTTCAGCACTGTTATATGTTTAAATGTCACTGTATTTACAGCACTATTTTATGTTAGAAATGTTACTGTATTTTCAGCACTGTTATATGTATAAATGTCACTGTATTTTCAGCACTGTTATATGTATAAATGTTACTGTATTTACAGCACTATTTTAGGTTATAAATGTTACTGTATTTACAGCACTATTTTATGTTAGAAATGTTACTGTATTTTCAGCACTATTTTATGTTATAAATGTTACTGTATTTTCAGCACTATTTTATGTATAAATGTTACTGTATTTTCAGCACTATTTTATGTCAGAATGTTACTGTATTTTCAGCACTATTTTATGTTAGAAATGTTACTGTATTTTCAGCACTATTTTATGTTAGAAATGTTACTGTATTTTCAGCACTATTTTATGTTATAAATGTTACTGTATTTTCAGCACTATTTTATGTCAGAATGTTACTGTATTTTCAGCACTATTATATGTATAAATGTTACTGTATTTTCAGCACTATTATATGTATAAATGTGGCTGTATTTACAGCACTATTTTATGTATAAATGTCACTGTATTTTCAGCACTATTTTATGTATAAATGTCACTGTATTTTCAGCACTATTTTATGTTAGAAATGTAACTGTATTTTCAGCACTATTTTATGTATAAATGTTACTGTATTTTCAGCACTATTTTATGTCAGAATGTTACTGTATTTTCAGCCTGACACTGTACCACAGGGTGTTGTAGACATGAACAAATGTTCCGATGTTAAAGATGCATCAGGTTCAACATCACATCAGAACTCACTGGCTATAATCACACCAGAGAAAACCACGTACATTAAAGCCAACTCTAAAGAAGAAATACAATGGTGAGTTAACATGTCAGACTAGTAATCTAATGATTGCTAGCCACATGGGTTCAAACCCTGTCAGGTGCAAGTCGTTGTTTCCTTGAGCAAGAAACTTTACACTCATTGCTCAGTACTGGTTGGTTCCAGGAACAATTCGAAAGTGTGTCTTGTAGCTTCCGACACAATCGAACTAAAATAAATTCTGTAAAAACCAATGGTGAGTTACAATAAAACAATGCAAAATTATATTATGTGATCAACCAGGCTGTTGTTATATAATTGACTGGTTCTGCGTTTACAGATATAACGTACTGAAAAATAGAATATAAAGACAAATTCTTCTAAGTCATATATATTGCTTAGGGAACTGTTCTACAAAAGACTGAAGTACATTACAATTTTGTTCAATAATGAAATAGGTTAGTACAGTAAGTAGATACTAGGTGTCCTTTCATTGTACCTACAATGTTATTAACATTTTAAAAAGAATTTCAAAATCTTCAAATGTTTTATGTACTTGAGTAAGATAATTAGCTACTTTAGAAATTGTATAAAAGATTAAAGAATGTGTATTTATACATGATATAAAGGTGGAAAGATGATACAGTATGGTGGATGTTTTATGTAATAACATCTTGTTACAGTGGTTTCACATTTTGAAAGATGTAAATCAGGCAGTAATAATGATATCTTACAGTAAAGAAGAGTTTATAATACCAATTAGACACACTTTAATTGATGTAGAATATGTTTTAAGATGAACAAAATACACAGTATTATGCCCAGGCGAAATTCATGGTCATTTAACCATGAACTACCATGAACTACAATGGTATTTCATGGTCCTGTAACCATAAACTACCATAGTAGACCATGTTTTGTTAAATGGCACCACAGCTTTTCATGGTCACCTAACCATGGTTGCTAACACCATGGTCTACCATTAAATAACATGGTAGATCATGTCTACTGACACCATGTTCCACCATGTTAATTTTTTCCCCTCGGTGAAATGTATCATGTTTTATCATGAAATAACATGAACTAACATGGCTCACATGCAGATCATGGTTAGCCATGGTTGACCATGTTATGTTACACGACCCTGTGTCACAAGAGGACTTTCATACATTACTTATCATGTAGACTAACATAATAATAGTATATAGGACTATGTATATCTTGACTGAATTTGTTTCCTTTGTTATCACTTTTATTTGCCAGCCTGCATATAAAACAAACAGTGCTTGCCATTTATCTTTCTAAAATGTTCCCGCCTTTTTCCACATGTATATTTTCCTTGTGTTTACATCTTTATCAGTGTTTATTCCATAATGTTTGTTAAATCCATTTGTGAAATATTAAAACTGGGTGTTGGGAAACATGTTAGCAAAGTCTGAGTGAGTAATTCCATTGTTTAAACACTTTAAAACATATATATTATGCTGTTGACAAACACACATGGATTTGGATGCCATGTTGGACTGCAATGCATTGTGGTAAGGTTTACCTCCGCTTTGAAGAGTATTCAGATTATAAGGCTAGAACTACTGTTAGATACAATGAAACTTAGGGCCATGGGTTCAAACCCCAGAAGGATCAACATTTTTTCTTCTTTTTTTTTTCTTTTAACATTATTTATGTAACTTTCATATCCCTTTTGGGAAGAAAAACAAGTGTTTCATATTTTTTTTATTTAATTTATATAAGTATTTTTTGGCATAAAAATTATGTTGATAGTACACCATGGTCATTCATGGTCATTTTACCATGGTCTGTAATTTTGTTACATGGTAGACCATGGTTTTTCATGATAGCTTACTGATATGCAGAATGACCATGTTATTACATGGTCATACCATGATGTGACCATGGCATTTGATGGTTTTTCACTGACGACCAAGAAATAACATGTTCAGATATCAAAAACCATGAAATACTATGTTGACCATGGTACACATTTCACCTGGGTAAACACCAATTATTCCACTCTTCAAAGCAGACAAAATGGTAAAACACATATTTAGACGATCCCTCACACAAAATACAGTTACTGTAAAAACATGAACAATTATAGGCATTGATTTTGTAAAAATAGTCATCATAAATTTGTCAAAGAATTGAGCATATTTTTACTTTTCATGTTAAAATATTCAGAGTGATCATTTTGACTAAGAAGTATTTACATGACACACAAATCTCAATAAATATTATATAAAAAAAGAAATTGTTAGACTCGGACTGAATAACATTTTCAATTTTGCTACCTAAATTTATTGATGATGAAAACTTTTAATTTCTTTGAACCTATCAAGTGCTTGCTTGAGGCTGTACAATGATGCAACTATGCCTGGTTTAGCCCGCTTATTGGTCAAGTCTGATCATATTCCTATGCTACATGAAAATAAAACTTTCACAAAATCATTTTTACACAAACAGTCACATTTTTACAGTAATTTTTCTATATGATACTGGTATGTCACATATTATAGGTAGAAACACTTTGCATTTATTGCAAGACACAATAACTTGTTGTGTATTTATTATTGTAATTATGATATGTTTTGCATTAATTTGTTAAACATGTTATATTAGATTACTATGTTTGTATACTGTACATCATACTGTATCCAAGCTAGAATAATTGACGGTTGCCATCAGCAATTACTGCTTTACATTAAGTGACATAGACATGTATGTAGTCATCAATGTTTTAAATATTTACACCTGACCTAAAAATTCCTGTTATCTTGATAAATGAGAAATTAAAGCAACAGATATTTGCTTATACATTATTGTTGCAAATGTTAAATACTTAATTTTTAAGTTGAATTCCATTTTGATATTTACACATATATTTTTATTAGGTAGGAATGAAAATTAGCAACATTGAATCAATGTGTCTACTTAAGCATTTCCTTGGGGAAGGCCCAGCAAAATGATCTCCGAGAGTTATTTCATAACTTTTATGATAATTTAAATATTCTGTGATATATTTGCATGATTAGTATAGGAAGAAGACATCATGTTACAGTACTTTATCTATATAACTATAGGTATTATAACATTGATAATGGTTTATTTAACTGTAGAAGTTGTAACCTTATACAGCTTGAATCTGAATCATAAAAACAGCTTAATTTCTTATATTTTGACATCAGATGAAAGTTGACGTCTTTTGCTACTGTTGTATACAGGATAGGTTACTTTAAATTTTTAAATGAATCTTTTTATTTCTTTGTTGAGTTGATAATAAAAAGATATTTAAGCGGCAATTTATCATAAATTATTATTTTCAAAATTTCAGTTCATATCTAAGATTTAACTTCATGATTTATTTAATATTCCGTCAGAAATAAGATAATTATAAATGATGTCAAAGAATGCTGGTAGCTAACTGATATTACTGCCATGTATATATTATTTTTTCAAAGTGGGAATTACCCGCAGAGTGAGCTGATGTTGAAACATAAAAGAAATAGCTTTAGGGGTACCTTTAATTAAAATATTGTATTAATAGGGATTACACTTGATTTGTTACATTTAATGAGAGAAAGGGTTAGAACTCCTGTATAATATATGCAGAGATAAGTATACGAGAATATGAGAATTAGACTACCATATGGTGTTTTATAACATATGAGCCGCGTCATGACAAAACCAACATAATGGGTTTGCGATCCATGCTGTTCGCTATCAGTTTCTCTACTTGTTTTAGAGTTTGTAAGCGAACAGCATGGATCCTGACCAGACTGCGTGGAAGTGCAGGCTGGTCTGGATCCATGCTGGTCGCAAACGCACTATGTTGGTTTTGTCGTGACGTGGCTCTTATATAAAACACAAGATATAAACTATAATATAAGATAAGGCCCATGCTGTCATCAGTCCTTATGTCTTCCTATGATAAGATATTAGCTGGGAAAAGATGGCATTATATCATCAAGATTACAGCAATAATCTGCATGACATGATATTAAACATATGTTTTCACAGTAAATGCTGCACAGATTATTTATATATAATGAAAATATGTGTACAGCATCCAGTAGCTGGGGTAAAATATTACAGAATAAAGTAGGAGGTAGATCAGGTTAACTGTGTTTACTCATCAGTACAATCCCTTTAATCCGAGCTATTAAATATCAAGTGTAAATGATGTAGGCGAGCAGACATATTTTTTTTCATAATGAACAAATTTTTGGTTAATTTTCATTGAAAATGCTGATTATATCTTGAGTACAAGCTAATACAATAGAGTTGTGTGTAAGTGAGACTTCATCATCTAAAACTTGCACACTGGAATGTGTGCAGAGAGCTGCATGATGACTTATGCACATTTTGTTCAGGTGATACTCTGTTTTCATTGGATCAATTTTCATCGTTTTTCCTATGATCAGATGTTTTTTGAGTTAGAAATATTTTGTGATTCACTCCTCAATGTATTTACCAGGGGACCAACAGATGTCACTCTAGACCTGATAGTTTATAAGATACTGGCATTTCTGCAACATTTTTGCAACTTCAGAAAATGAAAATTATTTGTGATATCAGTGACCATAAATGTAGATACTGTTTATATCAACAATCCAATTTTATAAACCAGGGCCTTCATTAAGTTTCAAAATTTGGTAGTCAGAGATTACAAAAATCTCTGATATTGGAAGTCACATACTTACATTATATAGGCTTAGAAGAAAAAGCATTAAATTGTGGAAGTCGCAAGCCAAAATCAAGGAGTAAATGACTCCCAAACTTCCATTAACAGAAGCCCTGATAAATTTAATGTTACTTAAAGTTTCTTGACTGAACATTTAACTTGTCTTTTCTCTTATGTGCATTGCTGGCCTTGGTCTGGGGGCAAAGTCTAATCAGTTTCAGTTCTGGCAAAAAAACTTTTATGATCTTTCTAGGTTCTCTGCATAAAATTTCATTTTAGGCTTAAGACCCCTCAGTGAATTTCATAACTTTGAAGAATACTTTTTTACATCAATTTTTAATTTAATGCATTTAAATAAAAATGTTTATGCATTACCAATCCCTAATTATAACATGGTTTACTTGAAACATGATCAAATCATTTCAAAAATGGTTGGAAAGTTATGGCAAGTATATTTTAGGAGAATGGTGTATTGTAGAGAACTGATAGTCCGGCTATGACTATCTGGTTATATACATGTCTATCCCAAATCATAAATTTGTTTTGGTCAATTTTATTGTAACATGTATATAGATACTTAGTTGTCACTTGAACATGTCATTCTGTGGTCTCAAGATGACACCTGAAATACTGCCGTCATAAAATTACCCTCGGGGTCAATAAACCAGTCACCAATCATGAATACTACAAGTCCTCCGTCTATATTAATATTAATTGTTAGGATGTAATTGGACACAAGTATTGTTTACATCCCACATATACATATTGACAGTTTGACAAAACCTTGTAACATATGTTACATAAACTTTTATAATTTTCATAGAGAAACATGTACATGTATATTATTACTACACTTACAAAAAAAGTAGTTCCTCAAAAAGAAGAGTCACTTGCTGTGTGAAATGACGAATTTATCAAAAAAGATAAAGTATCATTTTGAGTACATAGATGAAACAGAAGGTGAAAGGTCATCAGTATTGATATATAGAAGTACTTATAAAGGAAACTATGTTAAGGAGGATTAAATCCTACTACAGAAGCTCAGCAGAGGAATCTATTTATATATAACCAGGTGTAAATAAATCAACATAGAGGGTATGTCAGCTGTCCCTCCCTCACATACCTGAGACATTGACAAGAATAAATGGGGGAAAATTTCATATATTTATAAAATAAAGTCTGTTGGTTAATTTAAAAAGCTGATGATTTTGGTATATCAAATTAAGTCCTATTATAAAATAAAGTGACCTTTTTATGGAATTTATTAATAAATATCCCTCTCATATACAATCAGTAATGTTATTCAATAAAAGTGGTTTATTTTTACCTCCCTCTATTGTAAATTTGGACAAATTTTGTCATATTCTTATTTTTACCTGGTATTTTTACCTATTACTTTGAAACACTAAAGTGATTTTTAAACTTTTGTATAAAAGAAATGGTATGAGTACTTGGACGGAGTTCAAGCTAGAATTTGGCAAATGGGAACCAGCTTGTTACATGGTGATTACTGAAGTATCTGTTGTGAATTATCAAGATTAGAATGTGTTAACCCCATCAACACGGTCATATACCATTTGTAACATTATTTATACTGCATGCAGCAGAATCTCAAAATTATCAAAATAACACTTTCATGACTAATAGATGAGAGTGAAATTCTAGAATAGAGAAAACCCACAGGAGCAAAGATAACAGAAATAAATAGGTGAAAATGGCAGGCTCTATTTGAACAAAATAAAGCCAGATTTCTGAATTTCCAGTGATTATATAAAACACTTGTTAATAATAACATAACTAGAGAATTATGTAAAGAATGAATGTTTCTATGACAGTGTATTATTTTAGTATGAAAATTTATGAAAAGAAAAATATGTTTTATGACAAGAAAAACATAAAGTGACGGTAAATTTATTGTTGTTGAGCTAAGAAAATTGTTGTTCACACAAATCAAGCATTCATGTTCATGTGTACAGGTAACAGAATTTGGTAGAATGGTAAATTAATTGAGTACAACTTGCTATTTGTTATTTGTTGTTTTCCAGGGAATTTAGTACATTTACTTTTGTTTATTATTAACTTTTTCTTCCTTCATGTTGGCTATAAACATAGTACAATATGTTTAATGCTAAATAAAATCTATGTTACTTTATGTTATTTTGATGAACAGAAAGAGTACATCTTAAGCTGAAAAACCATGGTGACAGAATAAGTAAACTTTGTGCAATAACAATGCCTCTTCGTGATAGACAAAATTATAAGACAAAGTCAATTAACATTAACAATTATACATACAGGATATGACATTGCTGACACCATAATTATGTCAATCACTTAATGAAATGATGTTTTGTTTACATGTCATCTGCCTGCCTGATTTGAAATAATTCCAGGTGACTGGTAAGCCGCTTGAGCGTAGGGAAATTTCTCCTTGACAAGTGATCTTGTCTATTAGTTATTTGTCTCTCACCTCTGATTAATTACATGTAGTAGGCATTAATTGGTTGTTACTGGTTGATTTCTTATAATTTATAAGTATATTATTCACATGTTTTATAAATATTTTTGTTACAACAGGTGGGAGAGCATTCTCGTAAAGTTTCCTGCGGAGAATGTGGTTGTTAGACCATGTTTCCAGTTTGATAACAACAATAAGGAAAATATAGAACCATCCAACATTATCCAGCCGCCTGATAATATAAGAACAATCAAACATAAGTGAACAACCCAATATCATGGAGCCAACCAACATTATAGAACAATCCAATATCCTAGAGCCAACCAACATGGTTGAACCATCCAATATTATTGAGCCATCCAACAAAACAGAGTCATCCAACATTATTGATATAGAAGTAAAAATACTGGTTATACTGTAAACTGTTGTTGGAATGCTCACTGAACATCATCATTGAATCTAATTAACTATAATAAATATATCCGTCACAATCTCTCATCTTCCTTTGAAAATATTTCAGTTTTAAGTAAATTTTTTTTCGTTTTTACATGCTTAAATGTTAAGCTAGTGTATAGTGTTTATCCATAGTTAAAGGCTAGTATGATAAACATATTATGTGAAACCTATGAATTCACAAAATTAACAAGAACTCTGAATTAAAGACCTGAAAATTGTTTTATTTTTATAATTATATGTTAATTATAGAAAGTTTGGGTTATTTTGATTGGATTCAATGATTTTGTTCCATTTTGTATGTGTAGTAGCCGAGTTATTACTATGAGAAGCATGTGTGTGACAAGAGAGACAACCCCTTTGTTATTTTGTTCATGTATAATTTTGGTATGATGTGTTACCTCCCTTTGATAGTAGCATATGTTGTTGCAACAATTTCATGTTTTTGATAGAGACAGAATAACCAAAAACAGAAAAGATATTTGAATAATTTATTTAAAATTGAAATCTTAAACTTTTCATACTGTAATTTTGAAATTTAAAAATGAAATATACTTAAAGTAAGGATTATATTTTTGTTTCTCAGTAACACATCTTATCAGCATTGTTATGATAATGATTGTTTTTATTTGTAGGAAGTGCATGGAATACTGACTGGAATGATTTATTTTTCATTTTCTATACCTTTTACACAATTAACATTCAGCATATTGCAACACCTGTTTTTGCAACTTTTATTTCCTTTTATTTTTATTTTTTGTTTGATTTTTTTGTGACCTAGGTGGCATGATGTATTGATAGTATACCCACGCAGTGTTTGCAAGCCAAAACAGAGACGATTCACTGTACCAAGCTATAGTTTCCTTAACAAGGAAAATTTACAGGTAGGGGAAACAACTCTAAACACACTTAACAAAAAGATACACAAATTTAAGCAACTGCATGATTGTCTACCTTTACTAAGAATGCTGTCTGCATGGTTTCTAAAGTCTTATGTATGAAATAACTAAGTTAACAGTAAAGTTTATTATTGCACATCTCTATTCTCTCAATGGTATCAAAATAATCCGTATTATATGTCAAAGTGATCAGTGATTTATAAAAACTTTTTATTTGTAACAAAAATTGAGCACTACTTGTAAATATAATTTTACAGCCAAAATCAGAGACCTCAACTGATAATAAAGATGGGGATACCACTAATGGTGGATTTGAGATTGAAAAAGTTAAACCAAAAGAACAACAGTTTAGCACGTACCGTGGCGTACGTAGTATGAAGCATACTAAAGAGAACAAACATTATCAAGACGGGTTACGGAAGAGCAGTAGTCTGCATGATTTATCCACAGAAGAGCGTGAATCTGGTAGTCTTGATAATTCACGATTTTTAAGTCGATCAGGTGAGGGGCTTGATGCAGAAAGTGCAGCATCATATTCGGACGGTGCACGTCTGCTTTCCGGGTATGGAAATAATTCATATATGACTGTACCAAGAACGACAGCGTTTAAACCACCAAGTGGGAAATCATTATACACATCCAATCAGAACTCGTCTTCCAATACGTCAATTGCTTCGGCACCATCATCTACCTCAGAAACTGCGGGCATGCGTGAACGTCGCGGCTCTTTTGATGACAAATCTATACACAAGTCACGTAATGCTAGTGAAAGGGCACGTTTACATAGAGAAAGATCTGCTAGCATGAAATCATTCCCAACGAACCTTACGTTACCAAAGATAACAAGTTCTAGTGTAGATCGTCTTCTTCCTAGGACCGATTCTTCTGGTCAAAACCAGACTGATCATGAAAATGAGACTGATGAACACAAGGTATGCTGTATTTCTGTTCATTTAAGATTTGGTAAATTTGCTATATAGATAACTTTCCCAGCTTCAAGCTCAGTAGAAGTGTTGTTTCTGGTATTAGAATATTTTTATGATTTTAAACTTCCAGTATCTTGTTGAAAAATATAAGCCTTTATTTCTAAGTTGAAGTAATTTCTGTAATGTTTCCATCCAGAATGTTAATCACCTTACATTATCATCATTTAACTATCATACATTATCTTTTCATCATTTTCATTTCATCATTTACATCATACATTATCATTTCATCATATTACCATCATTCATTATCATTTCATCATTTAATCATCATATATTATCATTTCATCATTTAATCATCATACATCATCATTTCATCATTTAACCAAATGACTTTGCTAATGGTCATCAGGAAAATCACTTCATTTTCATAGCATCTGCATATTATACATATACATACAAATGCATTTGATACAGCAAGCATACAAATCGTCAGCCATGATGTTATATTCAAAAACTTGCTGTTTATGTGAGGGTATTTAGAACATATAAGTAATAAATGATATTCATTTCCAACATTTTCATTTTCACATTCTTTACTCATACCAATATAACAAAAAAATGTTATTAGCTGATATATGAATTTTAATAGGATGTCACCAGTATGTGCAGTACTTGTTTTCAAGTATTTAAACATAATCAGCAGTGACGATTGCTCTGTTAAATTGTGTAATTTTTATGTTTTCTTGAACTTTACATGTCTCTTCTTTATTTACTGAATTTAACCCATAGCCTCGGTTTTAATTTTGAGTAGTTTATTCAAAGTTTAAAGGTTTCAATATCAAAATATAAAGAAAGGATTGCTGACCATGTGGGTTCAAACCTGGTCAGGGGCAAGCCATTCTTTCCATCTAGCAAGAAACTTTACATTCATTACTAGTACTGGTTGGTTCCAGGAACGGATTCAAGAGTGTTTCAATAAGCTTATAGCTTCCAACACAATTAGATTAAAATGAATTTGTATAAACTAAAATACAAAAATTGAACTGGCATGGTTGTATACTGTTGGGTAAATCAGTTTCTGTTTAAGCAGCATAAGGATTAAAGCACATGCTAGTATAACCTGTGCATGGAGTTAATATCATATGACATGTTGACTTTCTTCATTTGGACATTGCTTTACTGCTTTACTTGTTCTTTTATAGGTATTCTCTCATTCTTAATATTGGTATGGTCATTCTATTACAACAGAGGTCATACAAGTTTTTACTGTTGTTATATAAATTATCAAGAGCTTTCAATTAAATCAGTGGTATGAAAGAATTTAATCCCAATTAACTCGTTAACGGACTAGTATGGCTTTACGTAGAGGTGTGATAGTTTACAGGTTGATCATTCTGCTCAAAGAAATGTTTTGAAATACTCGTAAAGGGCTTAATAAGTGTTCCATTAATCTTTTTAGTATAAACACTGGTCATTTCTGATTATAATTTTGTTTGGTTTTGATTATTGGTAAACGATTGGTGCAGAAATGCTGTAAATTAGTTCTGTTCATAAATAAAGAATTTTTGATACTATAAAACATTCAGAAGAATATGTTTTTGTATGCCCGATGCAGCCATATTTACAAATACTAGAAATGTAAATGTTTGACTTTTTTTATCAAAATTAAACCAAATAAGAATCTTTAAAAGAATGAGATAAGAAATAGTCTTGTCGAAAGAATTAAAGAAAGGTAAGATGGGTACTAAAACAATATCCTTTACTTTCATGCAGCAGAAACCTAGATATTTATTTACCCATTGAATGTTTATGAAAATTTACTCTCCCATTTACTTTAATTTACTTCACTGACATTAAAAATTCATGCATGTATGGAATAAATTTCCTTGACTCGAATATATATATTTCCATTTTAGTTCATTTTACGTGTAACTTCCATTATTTACTCAAGTCAAATATTTGGAAAAATTTTCATATGGTATTTTATTTGGTCTATTCTCAGTTTGCATAATTAGATGTAAATTTTACTGACCAGGGAGCGTGCATAACAGACAAGTTGTTATTTATATATTGAAAAATTTAGTTATCAAGTTATACAAGTTTTGTGAGGACTTTATGATAGAGTGTTAGAGGGAATTATATCGTTTTGCTAAACGGGGAGTGTAAATTGTTCCTAATGTTGAAATAGTTGAGGTGTTAACAAACAAAACAGAAGCAAGCCTCTGTCATATGTCTGACAGTGTTAAAATAATGTAGGAATAATTATTGTCAAAAACATGTAGATACTGTCATCAGATTTGATGAAACTTTGCATTCATGTTGACACTACTATAAACATCTTCAAGATAAAAATATAAAAGCATGTAAAGGGATGGTTAAGATAAATGGTCGTCAGTTTTTTAAAACAAGAGAATGATTTGACAATTTTGTATTGTACAAATGCCCAAATGATATTTTATGAATGGTTATGTGCTGATTTGTTGATCAGATCTAGTTAACCTTTGCTTACATTCTTACTGGATGTAGTCAGTACTGTATATTATGCCAAAAAATCCGAGTTGAAAGAAAAATATATGTCACAGTTAGGTATTTAACTGGTATAATATGATTTGTTACAAGTGTTAATATGTCAATCAAGATTAGAACAAGCAAGTCTACTTATACTAATGTATGTTAGATATTTCATTGAAGGGTGCCACACTTAATATACCAGTCTATGCTGGATAAAACATTAATAAATGTGCAAAAGTTAAAATATGTATGTGACAGAGTTCAGAATAGTTATTTCAAGTACCATTACAAGTGCTTTATTAAGTGTAAGATATTTGGATACAAGTGGTTTAATTGAGGATTATATAACTTCTGTTTTATATAAATTCAATTGGCTGTTACAGGATTAAATGACACTCATACATTGTTATACTTTAATGTTACTTACATATTAGGTTAAAATTTTCTAATTAAGAAACCTGAAGGTAAAGTAAGTGTTCTAAAAGACTAATTTTTCTATCGAGTCAATCTAGTAAGGGGCCATGACTCTTGTTAAGGCTGTAAATGTTACAGGTAGTAGGTTTTTCACAAAATGGGAGGTAGAGGGTTAGGTTGGGCATGAATATATTTCATACTTTGTATAATTGTACCTATTACAATCCTTAATATAACAAAAAGAATGCTTGTTCTTTAAAATAGTAACGTTAAATGATAATATTGCATGCACAACACATTACTGATGTCAGTAGCAAGCAACTTGTTTTGACAGCTATTATATTCATAAAGTTAAATCTTATACATTGTAGATGCCAGATGTTATAATATATACACACAAGCATTCACTATACCTTTTTATATCATCTTGAAAATTATATTATTTTTACATCTACAGTAAATGAGTGGAAAATTATTATTTTTAGGTCTACAGTAAATGAGTAACACTTAATATAAGTAAAGAATGAACACATGTATGTAAGATATGATATAAGATAATAGGAGAAATAATATTTGATAATTAATTGAAGAAATGATCAGGTTTCTAGAGAAATTATTCTAAGCCAGTCATTATTAAGATGTTCCAAGTTGTTAATGAGGAATTTGTAATTAAAAGGAATTTGCAGTTTAAAAAATTCAACATTTTTAGTGCACCAGAAAAAAAGAAATGTTTGCAGAAACTTTAAATCATATCTGAATTTGAAGTTTGTCATTGATAAATTAGGGTATAAAATCAAGCATTCCTGAGGTTTGATCTTTTGACTTTGAGGTTTTTCAAAAGACCCTTGATAATATGGTGCCAAGTGAAATATAGGTAACTTTATGTAGATAGTGAGATAATTGCCTAACATGCTTATTTAAAACAGCTATGATTTATTTATAACAACTTTCATTTATATATGACAATTTGATAATGTTTTAGGGCTTTTAGTTTTGAAGTGGAAAAATATGGATTAAGTATACTACATTAGTTGAAGAAGGGAAAGTAAAACAATTATAGAAAAGGTTAAAAATCAAATTATGTGCAACAAATATCTCCATTTGTGATTTAAGTTTTCTTTTGTTTTGAGCTGGAAACATTTAAAATGTGAACAATACTGTGAATGTATTAACTTTTATATGATTAGTACTTGAAAGGGGAAGCAGAAATTTACCAGAAATATGTAGTTTGACTGATTTTTAGTGATTCTAATGTTATGTAACAATAAGACTTTATCACTTTATATTAATTATAGTAGACATTGTAGGTTAAAGGGTTCAAGTTAATTTAACAATCCTCTTGAAATGGACAGAGGCAAAGTGGCAAAGTGCTTATTTTGCACCTTGTATAAAATATTGGTGAACAATTTCAATGAAGTAGATAGAAAGAGTCAATATTGACAGAAAATCAGAACAAACATGTTTCAATACATGGATAATAAATTGACTTTAAACTTTTAAGTTTTTAAATGTAATGTCTATTTGTATGAAGTTTGAGTAAGACCTGCTAAAAATTGATAAATAGCTCTAAGAAAAAAACCTTCATGATGGACGGCATATTTGCAAAGTGATTTTGTAGTTTAGGGGGATAAACTTTTAATGTGACAAATATATTTCATGGTTAAAGAGGAGGTTTGAATAAATCTTTTTTGTGTGTTTTGAAATTTTTTTGCTCTTAATTTAAGCAACATATGGTTTAAACTCTGAACTTTGAAGAATTTTTCTTTGATAACCTATAAGCTTAGTTGTTTGCATGTGAAGTTCTAGTGCTAGGCTACATTGAAGGGTACAAAGAGTTGAAATCTCTTACATTGAAGGTGTGTACTTAATCAGATATTGTTGTCATACTGGAATAAAATGAAAAAAAAAATTTCATCGTTTTTATTCACGATTTATGTATAGAATTATAACAATTCAAAGTGGCTTATACTAAGCATTTAAATAGATTGTATAAATTGTAATTATTGTTAATTACAAACATACATCTTGGATAATTTGGATGTTTTATTATAAAGAAGGTTTTATATTAAGCATCTAGTATCACAGATTTAAGGTGCAGTAAACATCTCTAATTATCTGCTATATATGAAATGTTGATCATACATTCATATTGATTAGCAATGATTTGAAATTCTCTGTTTATCAGAATGATTGAAATTTAGTCGTGTGGGGCTTAGGGTAAATTGTGATATGGTAAAGCTAGTGTCCAGTACTCTTGATAACAATTCAATAGTATCTCTTTATATGAATAGGTGAACAAGTTTCTCCTACTTTGAAGTTTAATTTTCACGACCTTGTGACATCAGATGTAATGTGTTTTAGGAATTCTTGGCAGGATAAGTTAGAAATTTTTCTTTATAATGGGATTATAGTTTCTCCTGTACTGAACTTAATGACTTTATAATGAAGTTTTAAATCATTGTTTATAACAGCAAAACAAACGAATTAAAGCTCATGAAAACAAGATTATCGTGCGGTTGTGAATCTGTAAAACAATAGTCACTCTTGTTTTTCTCTGTGGGAAATTTTTTTTTTACAATCATTCAACTTCTTAATAACATTCAAGCCCAAATGAATTATAAAAATTTGTTATTTATTATAAGGGTATTGAACTTGTATATTTTAAGTTATGGAACTTGCTACAGGTATCTTTGATCGTAACATGTGGCGTACACACTGGATTGACTTAAGTTTGTCATTGTATTGAAAGCTGAACTGTTGCTGTCACATCAATATGAATCAAAATTTACGTGAACAGAAGTTTATCTTAAAACAATCAAATATAGCTGGATATAAAAGTGATTTAAAATTAATTGAATGTTTGGAACACGTTGATAAAATGACTGAGAGTTTAGAACTGTATGAAAATGGTCATAGTGATGAGGAGAGTATGGTATCTTCAGGAGAATATATGTATTTATTACACCATCTTGATCTATATGTAGATCTATATATATGGAAAAACAGGGCGTTTAGAGAGGTGAGTAGCCATTTTGTGATTGTTATATTAAAAAGTAAAGTCAAGATTTATTAACATCATACATTCCATTTTAGCAGTGTTATCTTTTGAGTATTATCATTCCATTAGAAACTTGTAAAATGATGAATTTTAGTTGGTAATTGATGGAAGCAACGACAACAGCTAGATGACTTGCTTCAGGTTTCCAGAAGTTTTTGTCATACACAAAAAAAAGCATAATTCTAGCATAAAATAAAAAAAGAAAATGGGTTAATTTATAGTGAATATTAATACAAATTGTATTTTCTATTTCATTTGGCTATCAGTAGAATTGCTTCTTCCATATATTTTTGGAGCTGCCTTGTTGATGACTGATACTCGGACAGAAACACATACAAATTAATTGCTGACATAAAATGACTGGCAATATTTGGCTACATTGATATATAACATACTCTATTTCTGAAAATTATTACAAGTGGTTACTGCACATAAATCATTTAAATCTGAGAATAAGGAAACAGACTGATGCATTATGTAAATGGCTTTGAAGAGGGATATATTTCTTTCAAGATTAATTTGAAAATTGAAGATAAAATACAAAGAATATAAATTGAGCATATGTGATGTTATTTGCATTGCTGTTTTGTTTTAAGTGGTTTAAAGTATTCTGTCAATAAGAAAGTTTGCATTTGTAAGCAGATATAATATCTCCAGAATGCAATAAAATTATTGCCAGTGTGTCGATATTCCAATTTATGTCTTTGTTTAGTTTGGTGTATTCCAGCTTAATACATATATAGAACAGTGCCTAAAAATTGTTTTCTCTAAATAGAACTTTGCTACAAAAACAGAATTGTGAGTTTGATAAATTTTTGTTTAAACTACAATTATTATGATGTTCATCATCATCATCAACAACAACAACATCATCATCATTACCATTACCAACTCCTCACTCATCATTGTCATCATTGTCAGTTCTATATCATCATAGTCATCATCAACTCTGCATCATCATCATTTAATCATCAGCTAAAAATCTTCATTATCATCATCATCATGTTCTTCATCATCAACTATTTTCTTGTCTCATTGTATTCATCATGTACTCCAATTATTGTTACAAATATGGCTGAGCTTAAAGTTTTTACACTCCTAATTATTTTTACCTCTAAAATAATCATAATAAACACAGTATAAAAACATAATACACTGTTGTAATGACAGAATGTTGCAGCACACTATAATAATATATAGAGGATATTTGTTTACAGTGTAAGATCGGAATATATTTCACCTAGTGAGCACCAAAAGGTATATTTCACGAGTGTGCCACTCGTGAAATATGAACTTTTGGTGTTCACAAGGTGAAATATATTTTCATCTTACACTAAACTAAACAAATTTTCTTTTTATTATATGCAAAGAAACGTTTTAAAAAGACATTAAACCTAATACTGAATGAAAAGCGCGCCAAATAATAATACAACGTGACATCATTTACGACGTCACATCATTAAGTTGGTACCCAGTATTGTGCACGCTGGTATTTCACTGAAATAACGTAAGGGGCTTAAATTCAAAACTGTGAAATTATCAAAGTGGTAATTTCACTGTTTCAAACAGTGAAATTACCAGTTTTTATCACTGATATATTTCTATAAACCCCCGAAAAGCATGTAATAAAATAAATTACACACAGACTAGGTTTCTGACATATAAAAAAAGCTGTGAGGGAGTATATTGTTCATTGTTGAAATATTTATATACACATTTTGAGGACAAACTTTGTTGGCTGTGTGTTAAAATGTTACTTGTAGGTATTTTAAAAATTATACATTATGATAATTTTGTAACAATATCAGGGACATAATATGATGATATGGTATCATTTTTAATTTCCTTTTGTAATATTATTCACTTTGAAATAAAGTAGTGTCTTTTTGTAATTATGTCAGGAGTAGGTCATATGTAAATGTTGAAAGTCTGCTGCGATTGTGCATGTATGAATTTAAAGTCTGCATGGATGTGTAGAAAATTACTGTCAGAGTTTGTGTACTTTGTTGAACTATAGAATAAAACTGGATATTTAGCTATGATATATAAATTGTGCATGTAACAATACAAGGTTTGTCTAGAATTATATATTAAATTATACATCTCTGATTTTATTTATCACTATGAAATAAAAATTTTCATTTAAAATCTCAAAATTTGTATTAAAGTTAAAACTTAACATTGAAAGTAATTTTAATACAAGACTTTTACACTTCATATTTTCCATAAGATGTAGAAGTATTTGTGTTTCCTTTGGCTGTATTCATTGTATCATCATAATTATCCTTCACTCTGATTTATAATATGTTGATGATTTAGAAATGATGATTTACCTTCGGCTGACCAAACTTGTAAACTATAAATGATGTGAGATTTTCACTAAGTAATTATTGAATAAATAGAGGATATTTGTTTGTTTCAGTGTAAGATTGAAAAATATTTCACCGAGTGAACACCAGATGCAATATTTTCCACGAGTGGCGTAGCCACGAGTGAAAATATAATAGCTGGGGTTCACGAGTGAAATATTATTTGATCTTACATGTAAAACAAACAAATTTTCTGTTTATTTCATGATTTTTTAACGATTTTTACACCATTTTACTGATTATTGCCGCGTAACGTCATGCTCTTATCTTCATGACGTCATCAAATAATGACGTCACAATGTTGAAGCAAAATATAATTCCATGATTATTTTTAGATTTTAGATGTTTTTCAGCACATAGTTCGTAAATATTTACGAACTACAGTTATCACGTACATTTTTTATTATGATTGACTACATTTCCGCTGAAAAAAACATTCATTAATGATAAATATTTTATTTTTACGCCATTTATAGTTTGGCTACTGTGAAATTATATTTGGTAATCATTACTGTGAAATTATCAGAATATAATTAACCGTTATAATTCAGTAATCTACTGCAAAACATGTAATAAAGATTATTATTTAATATTTGATAAATTATATCAGAATTAACAATATTCTATGAATGAGAAAAAACTAAAGGTTTCTACATACCTAACAGTCTGAAAACAGTGAAATTTGCATAAGTTCTTAATATGTCTAATAAAATGATTTTTTTACACAATGTTGATAACTTAAAGAATAAAATATGATATCATTTTAATAGAATGTTTCCATGTTAATTTTAACTGTTGGTTTTCAGATGGCCAAGTCATCCGAGATGCAGTCAGTAAGTAGGTCAACCCCACCTCCACCAAGTCCCACCAGGCAAGGTGCCTCAGCTACACCAGGCACCAAGTTTGAGGTAAGAATCTCAATATTTTATTCTGCTTCAAATCTTGTGAAAATATTTTTGCTCCCTGAAACATAAAATAGAAGTTTTTTGCTTGCATAATAGAAATCATCTTGCCGTCTGCATTCCACAGAAGAATGAAATTATTAGAAAGCATTGGAAATAGTCCTGGTTTTTATTTAGACAGTCTGTTTTAAAACATAAGAATATCTACTTTCTGCCACAGCTGTACCCTGCTTGTAGAAATGTAATTTTATTACTAAAAACAAGTAGAAGCTTCCTAGAATCTCAATAATGCAGCAAAATAGATTATACAGTTTCAGTGCAGCACATCAGAAATACATTTCTGTTTAAATATACAAATAATGTCAGTGACTATATATGTCACTTGCTGTTCAATATTTCTGGGTTTAAATCCTGCAAGAGTTGTTTAATACCTTCATGTAAGTAAATTAAGAAGATAGTGGTCATCTTCCATCAATAAAAGTCACCGCATAACCTTCAACATGGTTTATACTACCTTGTCTGATGACATGCCTGGTGTCTCACAGTGTCTGAAAGGGAAGATGGCCCTTTATTAAACATAAACAACAGACAGCTTGAATTAAAACTTAAGCAAATATTTTTCTAATGTAGTAAGACCATATTTAAGGTTTTAAGGTCTTATTTAATGATATGCTATTTTAAGAATCGGTCTAGTTATTTATGCAGCTTATGATGTGAAAAGTGCAGTGAAGTTTAAAAAATCTCTTGCAAGCTTGGTTTTCTTTTAATAACATATTACAGTTATACTGTTGAAACATAATGTGTAAGATTTAGTGATGTCTGACCTAAATAAGATGTCGAGACATATGAAGATTATAGTGTTGTCTGGCCTGTTTGTGCGAGGACAAGATGCATGACTTTCTTTTCTAAGCCTTAGGCTGGATTGTTATATCTTATCTGTTTACAATTTCTAATTCCATTTTTACCAGCATGTTATAATACCTTTTTATGAAATCTTAATACAGTTGGTAAAAAAAATCTGAATAAAATTCTTTAATTTATATTGTTCCTTTTAAATACTAACACTAGTTGTAAAATTTCATGACCGTTCAATTTCGGTTTTGTGCATTTTTTGTGCATTTTTTTTTTGTAATAAACTAACATTATTTTGATTGTTGTGTGTGTGTTGACAGACATCTTCCGAATCCCCCAACCATGTTAGGCTAACCCTTGAGTCCCCAGATAGAGAACAGGTAAGGGGCCACACAACCTTTCCTCTAGCATGACTCAGACCTCTCTTTTTCTCTTTGCATGCTGTCTGCTATAGATTAGACTTAGAGCAATCATTCTTATCATTAACATACATGTGATCTTGTCAGTATTTTCAGATTTATTTCTGAACTGGTCTAACTGGTCAGATATTTTAGCTGCACTTTACAAAGAAAAATGCAGAAATATTGTTATGACCCACTTGTTACTGGCAATTTGACGTTGCTTTACATTTTTTTATTAAATTTTTGTTTATGGTCATTAGCCTCAATATTAACATTGAAATGTCAGTTTGACTTGGCAGACTCATTTTCAGATTAAAAGGTCAAAGATAACTGTAATGCAAAAACATAATTTTTGTTATTTAATCAAAGAGCATTGAGCTTCAAATTTTTTATGTTTTGTCCATGCACATTGATGACTGCTACCCACCATACATTTTTGGGGTCAAAGATCAAAAGTCAAGGTCGTTGTGACTTCAAACTTAAAATTGTTCATTATATCAAACAATAAATTTTCAAATGATCTCTTCATTCAGAAAATATGAAGTTTTCTATCAATGCTGAGAAAAGTAAAGTGTGCTGCTCCTTGGACAGCTCTAGGGACTTGTCTAATTTGGAACAGTCTCTTGTCTAATTTATAGATGTGTTCAATTAAAATACCTGTTATTTTCTAAAATAGAAACAAAATATATTGTTGTTGAATTTATAATGTTCTGTAAAGTTAACAAACTTGAATGTGAAATGATTGGCAGATTTATTACCATTTACATCAGAAAGTTATATTATAAATGTCAGAAATTTCTTAGTTCTTACATTGTATAATTAAAGTACATACATTAATTTAGATCATTAGTAAACTCAGTAATAATACTTTTTGTGTTTTTGTATATATTTCAGACTAAATTAATTTCATATTAACAATATCACATGTATGTTATAGTTGAACATTTTAGTCTATACAATGCATTTCCTTGTTTGTGTTTACTTTTTGCATTTCAAGGGAAGTAACTCTATTGCATGATTGTAAGTTCAGGATATGTATAGGATAATGAGACATATGGGAAACATGAAGTTGTGTCATTGAATTTCAATATATGGCCTGCAAGGATAAATATTGATGTGTAAATGGTGTTTTAACATCTTCATGTTCATTTACATACGAGATTTGTTAGGTATTAAAGGTGTACTTATTAATGTTTCTGGTTTTCTGAAAGTGAGGTATATTTTTGGAAGACTTGTATTTTGGAAGAGGGAGATATTATGGAATGGTGTATTTTGAGAGTGGGAGAGTTAGGGTTAACCCAAACCTGAACTTGGGGGGTGGGGGCAGTGGTGTTTTGAATCTGTTGAAGGTAGATAAATGTTTTGTTCTGGCATAGAAAGTTTATAAATTGAATGCATTGTAGATAATTCCATAAGGTTGTTCAATGATGAATGTATGGTATTTTACATCTTTTTATTAGTATGTATATGTATATCTTATTAATACAATTTCCAACTTTTAACCATTAAACAAAATTAGAAAAGAACCAGAGAGGATTGAATTTGCTCTGCTCTGTGTAGATATATGTTAGTCTATAGAATATAGATACAAGTGTAAATTTATAATCATTATTTGTTAAAAGCATGAAGACTTTTTAGTCCTCTTAAATTAACCCAATCTCTTCAAAATTATAACAAAGGGAACTAACTCTATCCATCATAAATTATAGTATTGATATATTTAAAGGACTGCATGAACAAAGTATTAATAATATATGTATAAAAATATAATCAAACTTACAGTTTTGTGATAGTGTGTAGTATTTACTCTGTAGGTACTAAAATTGTCAGAATATCTGAACTGAGTGGTCAACCTGAGTGGTCAATCTTGAAGGTGTTGTAAAGTCTAGTATATAATTAGAGTACATGAATCCCTGCCATTAATGTGTTGTTAAAGTTAGTTTTAAGATAAGAGGATGACTTTCTCTCCATTTATGAAAGTTGTCATACAGATTGTGAAGTACTTTGATATAGAAGAGGTATAAGGTCATTTGTAAATTCTATAGTCGCCAGTTTTAATACTTATTTACTTGTTTCACGAGGGATGGATTTAGGTTCTGTATATTCAGTGGTCAGATATATCTAAGATGATGTTTAAATTTGACTTCATCTGTCAATATTTCTGATAATGATGACACTGGTTTTGGAGATTTATATGTCAAAGGAATTTGGGCATAACTTTATAACGCAACTGATATTTATAAGAGTTTTGAAATGTGAAGGAAAGAGGGTCAAACATGGAATAATTATATTACTTTAAGGTAAGAATTAAACAAAAAGTAAATATTTTTTCATTTTACTTTTCTATTATTTATGTTTGTAAATGTTCAAAGAGTTTGTGAAATTGTCAATAGTTTGAAGTTATAATCATGATCCATGCTTACAGTAAACCTGTATAGGAAAAATACAGTCCTAGCTTTATATGTCATTTACATATTTATAATGTATTCTGACTTTTCCTCTGTTACAACTGTATACAACCTGGGCAGCATCACAGTTATTATATAAGCTTCCATCTCCAGTCAGTAATCAGGCTTTATATTTTATAATCTTTGATGTGTATGTTGTCCCATATCTAAACCAATACTAGTATATTATTAAACTATTAGACCCTATTGCTAATGCTTTCAAACCATAAAGCCAATATTATCAAACCATAAAACCAATACATGTATTATCAAACCATGAAGCCAATTTTATCCAACCTTAAAGCCAATACTATCAAGTTACAATACAACCAACACTATCAAACCCTTAAATCAACTCTACCAAATGCTGAAACCATAAAACCAATTTTAGCAAACCCTAAAACTAATTCTATCAAACCCTAAAACCAACTCTACCAAATGATAAATCCATTTCTAGCAAACTGTAAAACCAATTCTATCAAACTCTATTATAACTTTATGATAAATTAATCATAATAGTGTCAAATCAAAAGCAGTACATGATGTAGAAAACTCTATTTACCTTGCTTCCAGTTTGGAAAGGTGCAAAGGTTATATATCAAAGACTAAACAGAGGATCAAACATACAGCTGCCTATTAATGATGAACCTGACCATTTCCGTCACTGACTCACAATAATGTTTTGTTAGATTAAATTTGTGCACATCAATGTCATTTTTTAAGAACAGGTATCAAGAGTTACAGAAAGTTACACTGTCAGTTGAATATTAAGGATGTCCTTTAACCTTTTACCCAATGAGCATATTGTGAAAAATGGCCGTTTTCATTGAAAAGCCTCCTGTTACAAGTTCAAACTGCTATGAAACTGTGAAAAATGCTTCAATACTGATGAAACTTGGCACAAATGTTGACTGGACCATAGCCTCTGTAACAGCATTCTCAATCGTAAATTTACTGTTACCATGGCAATGGGGTGACGTGTCAAAATCGCGAAAAATCACTATTTTGCATTGTTTTTTTCCATCAAAACTGATTTCAAAGTGCTGCAACTTCTCAATGAATTAAGATAGAGTAAAAGGCTTTTCAGCGTCAGTTACTAGTTACCGTAAGATCGACCTGGGGCAATTTTTAGCCTGTCACATGTCCAAAATTTTCTTGGCGATGAGGGGGACTACCGCCCCCCCCCCTTCAAACCCCCAAAACAGAAAGGGGCACATCCCCCTTCTGGCAACCCCCTGATGTACCATTTTGATGGGGGCAGCGCCGAAAAAGTGGTCACTTTTTTAACAACATTTCTCAAATGAAAAACAGTGTTTGGGGCCTAAATAGGGCATTTTTTCACTGTTTGAGGCCTCAAAAGGGGGGGGGGGCAAAAAGCCGTCAAAACACATCTATATAAGGGAAAAGGTTAAAGATGCATAATCCTGTATTTAATAATTTTCACATCTGTTTAATCGTTAGATTATACTAAAAAAGCAATGAGATAAGAGCATGTTCAGTGGTAATTTTACACAATGTTCGAAAAAAATACTGTCTACTTGCCACAGTGTATTATTATAATAAGTCATAAGTGAAGATCTGTAAAAGTTGTCTCCCTTATACCTATATACCTGATGCTGAGACATAGTACCTAATGTATTGCCCAAACCAATCTGAAATAGTTTGAACTTGTATGATGTATGGCAGAGCCCTTTATGTTAGATTCTATTTCACACCTTGCACACCTGTGTTACATATTCTACATTAACAATCTGTATGACAGTGTTTCATGTTCAAAATAATTTCAATTAAGATTTTAACCACTGCATGACAACACAGGACTTCAAACTATGTAATATGTGTTTTAATTTTTATCATAGCAGTTACTGTAGTGTCATCTAAAATATTCAAAATGATGAGAGAAAACTTGCTTAAAAAAAAGTATTGTCAAATAATATAACTATTTTGATATTTGAAATTCTCATGATGTAAAACATGAAATTATCTCAGTTAGAATGGATGTGTTAGTCTGACAGGTGCTTTAATTTTGTGTTATTTTTGTTTATTTGCTTTTTGTGTTTTTGGAAGATTAAGTTACATTTTGTGCCTGGGGTTTGCATGTATAATTCAATGTTGACAAGTTTGTTAAAGGGACTATCAGGTATCTTACAAACAGTCAAATTTTCATTCTTGTTAAACTTGTTTTGTGTATCAGCAAATAAACACATAAGAAATGGACTTTTAGATGATTGTATGTATGTATTTATGTTGTGTTTAGTTTTGTGATGTTTTTGGGCATTTTTGGGATGAATCAATCAGGGTCATTGGATGATTTATTTGTGTTTGGTTAAAGGTATGCACAGGAAAAGAAAAAGAGCTCTTCATGCAGTTTACAGTAGAAATTAGTAAATTGTTCTTCAGTTATTGATAATTACATTCTGTATTTTAATATACTTTCATGAATACCGATAGATGTAAAAAATGTTGTATTTTAGTCAAGACTGGAGGAAAATGAGAAGTGATGTCAGTAAAGATATTGATTTTTGCAGCCAGTTAATAATATTTGTTATAATGATTTTTAAAAGTAATCATCTTAACACATCGTTTACTTTGTAGGAGGAAATGTTAGATTTTTGTTTGTTTCAGAAATATTTTAAAGATTATTTTACATCTTAAATATATACATTAGGCAACACAGATATGTGTTACTAGGAACTATATAATGGGTGTAAATGTGTAATTTAGTGTCACCTGGAATATCATTGTATGGATAGGAAAATGAACATAACTTTCAAAGTTGATATTTAAATAAAGAGAATTATTGTCAGCATGAGGGTTTGATAAAATACAGTTGTTTATATTTTCTCACAAGTTTTTGACAATAACACAAAAATTCCAGGTAACATTTAAGGTTAACCTTTTACCGTGACAAGATGTGAAAGCATTATTTTACTCTAAATTACAGGTGTTATTTTATGTTAACCTGTGTCTTTCTAGATAAGGACAGAATTTTCAAGTTTTGGTCTAAAATTTGTAAATTTTTCAATTTATTTATAAGAGTAATTATTAGTTTATTACATGGACTAGATGCAACTGTTTTGTATTTGGTTACTATAGTAACATTTAAAGTAGGCATTTAATTATAAAATTGGTATGTTTCAGGATTTGATGTACATGAAGAAAGGCTGGCTAATTAAGATGGGAACCTCTGAAAAGGTAAGAATGAGCTCAGCAAGTAATGACTATAGTTATTGTATGGCTATGTGTGTCATATACTCTGTTATAACATGTTCATATGAAGCCTGTAAACAGAAAACATTTGCTTATTAACAGGCTTAAGGTCATTAAATATTTAGTGACCTATAATAATTTGCTGTTTGTAAAATGTAAACATGCTAAACGGATGCATGTTTACTTGTTTAAGCTTATGCATTTTTGTGTTGTTAAAGAACATTATGTAGATATTTTAGACCTGGCTTACAACTTACATAAACATTCAAAGCAAACAAGCTTCATGCATAGCAAGCTTCATTCAGTGCTAAATGCTTCATTTATAGTAAACCAGCTTTATATATATAGAAAACATTTTAGCTTCATTTATAGTGAAAAGGCTTCTTTTATAGTGAACAAGCTTCATTCATAGTGAATAAGCTTTATTTATAGTGAACAAGCTTCGTGTATAGTGAACAAGCTTCATTTTTGGTGAAAAGGCTTCATTCTTAGTGAATAAGCTTCATTCATAGTGAACAACTTCAATTAGAGTGAACCAGTTATAAATCATAATACACACTTATTTATTTTTTTTGGTAAATGCTGGATATATTTTGAATTGTACAAGAAATATCAGAAGTATTATGCATTTTAATGAAAACACAGGGGTCGTAAAGGGTGCTAGGTGTGAACTATTTTATTACATGAATTGTCTACTTTATTTACAGTAAAAAGGGTAGATAAGGAGTAAACAAAATAGTAAAGTAGAAATAATTTATATGTATTTACTGTGATTAATTTGATCATATCAAATATATGCTACACAGCACAATTTTAATCCTACAAAATTGTATATAACTAAATACCATCTCCCTGGTTCCATCTTGTATGCTTTTCATACATATTTGTATTGATTTGTCAATTCTCTACAAAGACTTAACAGTATACAGTTTACCATATGATTTAAATAGTATTGTATTGGCACAAGTTAATATGATTGGTATTGGGACAAGTTAATGTTTTGGTACAAGTTAAGGTTCTAGTAATACAGTAGGTATGACTATATATTATTATAATTACAGGATTGGAAGAAGCATTGGTTTGTGTTAACGGGTAATTCACTAAGATATTACAAGGATGCGAAGGCAGAGGAAACAAACAATCTTGATGGCAGGATTGACCTGTCTAGTTGTTACGATATATCTGAGGTTCAAATACAGAGGAACTATGGCTTTAAAATCAAGGTAAAATATCTACCATCCATGTATATACCACATATATATACCATATAATACAATAGAATGCAATGATATCCTTAACTTGAATAACTTCACCATATAATTATAATACAGAAGTAAGATAATGAAACACAAGTTGGTTGCTAGGTTTTGATATTGGGTTTGCAATATAAACAATAAAAGTTTTAAAAAGTAGGGCTGGAAGAGACAAAAATGAAATTTATTTGATAGTTTTAATTGGGTTAGTTTTAACTGTAATTTTACATGTACAAACTCAAATAAAATGTTTGTATGCAAAGGTAACCTGTGGAATGAAAATTTACTTTTTTTCAAACTCTTATAAAAAGCAGTTAAAGAGAGCTTTTTAGGGACCACAAGTTATTCTATAAAATAACACTGTGGAAAACTTTTATTATATAATTTGGAATCTTTCTAATAACTTGGGGTTTTGGTTATTTTTGTGTTATTTGTAAGATTTCTCTGGAATGTATTATTTTGGTAAAGGTGTTGCCTTGCATGATGTAACTGTGTTAGTTAAACACTGTACAACACTGACTGTGATAACTGTGTTAGTTAAACACTGTACAACGCAGACTGTGATAACTGTGTTAGTTAAACACTGTACAACACTGACTGTGATAACTGTGTTAGTTAAACACTGTACAAAGCAGACTGTGATAACTGTGTTAGTTAAACACTGTACAACGCAGACTGTGATAACTGTGTTAGTTAAACACTGTACAAGGCAGACTGTGATAACTGTGTTAGTTAAACACTGTACAATGCAGACTGTGATAACTGTGTTAGTTAAACACTGTACAACGCAGACTGTGATAACTGTGTTAGTTAAACACTGTACAACACTGACTGTGATAACTGTGTTAGTTAAACACTGTACAACACTGACTGTGATAACTGTGTTAGTTAAACACTGTACAACGCAGACTGTGATAACTGTGTTAGTTAAACACTGTACAACGCAGACTGTGATAACTGTGTTAGTTAAACACTGTACAACGCAGACTGTGATACCTGTGTTAGTTAAACACTGTACAACGCAGACTGTGATACCTGTGTTAGTTAAACACTGTACAACACTGACTGTGATAACAATTACTGGTGTAGTGACTATCACTATTATTATACTGTACCTTTATACTTTTTAATCATAAGCAGTGGACTATAGGTGTAACACCACTAAATACTTTCCTTCTTTTTTTTCTTATGAAAAAAGTATTATACTCTTAAAGCATTTATATATAAAAAAAAAACAAGAACATACAGGAGTAACACAATTAAATTCTTCCTACATAACTAAAATTCTATGAATACTTATATAAAACTCAAACAAATCACCATCTGAAAGACTGACCTATTTAAAGCACATTATAAAACTTATTAACTTGTGAAGCTTGATTTAGTGCTAGCATCAGTGATAATAGATTTATTCCAAAACCAGCCTGCACATTTTTGCAGACTGACCTGGCTCTTTACTGTTGACTGACAAATTTTAATTTCTGATACCATAGATAGTTAGCAGTTTATTAATTCAAAGTATGGTTAGGGAAACAGATAGGTCTTTGCTGTGTGACAAATTACATGGTGATGGAAAGTTTCTGGTTGATTGTACTCCACTTTTCTCTCATTAATAAATCTTTTAATTGTTTTCTGGTATAATAGCATGTTGGTGTAGTCACTTTTCTATATGTTACAATGTTACATATAATATCCACTTATGTTTTTGCTATATACGTTATTGGTTTTGTTTTATTTTCTTTCACGTCATCCCTATTATTGCAGACAAGAAATGGCGAGTATGTTTTGTCTGCCATGACGTCTGGAATCCGGAGCAATTGGATGAAAGCCATACGTTTATGCATGGACCTCCAGAAAAGCAATAAGAACAAAGAATCTAAATCTTCCATTGATTCAACAGCTTCCAGTTCAACGGCACGGACTAATGATGACATGGATGTTGATACGTCATCATCATCATCAAGGACTAGCGACAGTGCACGTGGACCAGAAAAGAAGAAATTTATAGCAAAAGCAAGAAGACATTACTCGGATGTAAATCCAGGAAATATTGGTAAAATGTTCTCACTAACTGGTAGTTCATCAGGCTCTTCTCTTGCATCATCAAAAGAACCGTCACTCGAGCGAGAAATCAAACCTGAAAGTTCTCTACAAACTCACATGGATCTAGCTACAGCTCCAAAACATGGAAAGTACGAGCCTTACTGGCATGGAGAAGCAGGCTCTAACATTCCGTTTCGTAGATTTGTTGAAGGAAGTGACAGTCATGTGACCAGTTCTACCTCCTCAATTGACCAATCAAATAAGTCTGATAAGTATGATGAAGAGGAACGCAAGAAGCACGGTAAATCTCCGAGTGCTAAAATTAAAGAACGATCGAGAGCCAAGTCACCAAAGCTTCACTCACCGCCACCTGGTGAAACAGAATCCAAGTTTACATATATGACAGAGTCACCTGGTGATGACGAGAAAATGTCCGTTAGTTCGGAAGATTTAGATTATCTCGATGCGGTTGATGATGTATGTATTTTGCTTTATTTTTTAGTTGGTATGCAAGACTTAGTTATATTTGTGTTGTTTTCTGTTATGTTCAAAATCACCTTGAAGCATGTTTTACAGCATGTTTGTCAAACAAATAATCAACATTGTTGTCAAGGTAACCAAACAATGTTATATCAAATATAATAAAATATATTTCAGTAAAACTTTTTGTAAACTTAAAAGTAATTCAAAGAACTTAATTGTTAGTAAATAGAAAATTACATTTACCTTCCATTTTGATAGTAAGTGTATTACGAAAATGAATTGCCCTTGAAATAGGTAGAATATTGAATATATATCATTAAAGTCAGATTTACCAAAAACATCTTTTATATAGGTAATAGCAACACATTATGAAAACTGGTAAATCTATAACTGATTTATTTAAAACATTGTTTCTAAATTAAATTAATATTTTGTTTGATGATTTCCTTCATTTAGGATCATCTTGAAGGAGATGACAATTTGCCAGCATCAGCAGGGGAGGGAATGTTAGTTGATCTTCTTGAAAATGAGGTAAGTCATAAATATATTATCTAGATTACGTTGATATTATCATCCTTAACAACTTATCTGATTATCATTAGCAACACTGTGGGCTGTTTAACCTTTAACTTGCTGGATGCCTTAAATGGACTTGTCTAGCTTTCATTTTCAGAACTGTCCATTATCACCTTTTGGGATATTAAGATAAAAATTTGAGGTTGGTCCATGTAGCAGTATACTGTAGAGCCTGGTCAGGCAGTAGTATAGAGTCTGGTCAGGCAGCAGTATAGAGTCTGGTCAGGCAGCAGTATAGAGTCTGGTCAGGCAGTAGTATAGAGTCTGGTCAGGCAGCAGTATAGAGTCTGGTCAGGCAGCAGTATAGAGTCTGGTCAGGCAGCAGTATAGAGTCTGGTTAGGCAGCAGTATAGAGCATGGTCAGACTGATGCAATCTGGCCTGACTGTATACTGGTAGTAAAGGCTAATCATATTTGGTTCCAGCAAGATATAGGTTATAACGGATCTGTTGTTTATAATCTAATTATGTTACAGTGACATTATTGTCAAATTGAGCTGATCTGACTATGTATTTCAAAACATTGACTGTTATAATGGTGATTGACCAACAGTAAATATTAGAAAATGTTTAGGATAAAATATAAATCTGCCTAAAATATAGGTTGATAAAAGGTCAGTTCCAAAAGATATAGAAATTTCCTTGGGCCTCTTGGGTTATTAATAGTTCATGCAAAGTGAGTAATAAAATTGAAAGGAATTATGGGAAATGTAAACTTACTGTTCACCCACTATATACCATTAGATGGGCATAATGTCACTTTAATAACTGATTAGAATTGTTTCATCTTTTAGATAAAGTAAGTCTGTATCATTGATGGTGTGATATTTGGAAATATTTTACATCCTGTGTGAAATGTCTGTCAGATATTTGCTATCATTTAGTTGGGTTTTTATTGACATATTTGCTAAATGTTAGAGGAAAAACTAATGTAAAGTTTATGGGAATAGCCAAAGATTTCTATCTTGATATCAGGATATGATAACAACTAAACTTGCACATTTTATTTTCCTTATTTTTCAGTAATATTGAAGGTACATTACATAAGTAAAACTTTACTAAAGACATGAAAAAATAGATCTTTAGCTTTCAAATGAAGTAATTGAATCAAGGGAGGTAATACATGTAAAACTTCAAGCATTCCTTTCCAGTCTATATACACATTTTATACAGCAAACATTTTATGGAGAACATTAACATCTATCATTTATTTTACCGCTTTAAGTTTTGAAAAAAAAAATACTTTCTAGATTTTTTAACATTTGAATTTTGTATATTGATAAAACATCAATTTAAAATATACATGCAATATTTTAAACAAAGGGAATTAACACAAAGTTAAGCAAAACAACAACATTTTATACATGTACTGTATGTATATAAAAGCCGGAAATCTGGACCCATATAAATCATGTAACAGATCTCAGTTACAATTATGTATTTTAAAATGCTATGACTAAATACAGTAAGATTTGGCCTTACTGTTTGATACAGGCAATAAGGTGAGTTTATGACATTTCAAAAATGCTTTTTTACATTCAAAATTGCCTTCAGTATTAATATTATGACATGGGTTTGTTTGATCAAATCTTTCCAAGTCTCATTAAAAATTTAGGGGAGTATCATTTTGTAAAGTAGTGTAACAACTGCCACCTATCAAATAGTACTAAAGTTTTTTAACGAAAGTTTTAGGAAGAATTTTGTGTGTTTGTGCTTGAAAATAGCTTTGTCAAATAGTTAGATGTTACTCAAGTCAAAAGATTGAAAACATTAAAGATTTCTAGATAGTTGCGATGTGTCGGGTAGTTGTTGGACATGCCATGGACATATTTAACTTTGAATTGTTTTACACATAATTAACTTTGAAAAGCTAACAAAATTCTTTTTATTTTCATGCAATAGTGATTTTGATAGATTTTTCTATAGATAAATGTGATTTTGTGTGATTGTTGGTAATAAGGCCAGCTTTTTGATATTATTTCACTTAAATGACCCTCATTTTTATCAAATATCAAGAGGTAAAAGGTCACAGTCTGTATAACATTGGTCAAAATGTCACCTGAACATGAACTTTTATAAATGAAACTCATTGAATCAAATGAACACAAATTTTAAATATAGCACAAAGAAAAATAATAGGGGAAAAGATTCTGAATGAACTGGTTCTTTTACTTGCACTGTGTCATATTGATTTTGTATTTTAATATGATTCATGCATGGATGTTGGTAGAAGTTTTAAGTTAACACCTGTGGTTACCTAGTTGAATGAGATCTCAGTGTGGATATAGTCATAATAATTGTTGTCAGTTGATGAGGTCATTGTGAGGAAGTGTATTCAAGTGCATACAGATAATTATTTATCTAATTTATCTAAGACTTTAAAAGTTACACTTTAATGAAGATAGGACAAGTGTTTGAAATCTTGCACTTTACACATTTAAACTTTTCACAAGGGAATGTAGCTGTTTACAATACAAGTCAAGTAAAACATTACCAGTTTTAATTAGTTTGTGAAGTTGTGTTGAGCCACATTATCAGGAATACTTCTACAATGTTTACAGTATGCATATAAATCCTTCATTGACATACAGACATTGTAAAATTTGAATTACAATGATTTATTATATTAAATGGTTTGTTTTATTGTGATAATTAACTTGTCATTGAAACCTGGAACTATTTAAAACAAAACAATAAAATAAAATAATTCGGAGAATATACGTGAGTTCAGTGTATAGTTCACCATGAAACCTGACCGCACTGCTTCTCATCCGCAGGTTGAATCCCTGAAGGAACGTTTAGAGCATACGCAACAAGAACTAGCCAAGTCACATGATTCAAATCGTGATCTGAAAACAAAACTACAGACAGTAGTTAGAGAGAAAGATCCGAGTCAGGTGAGAGTCGTTATTTTAACACATTGCTTCATGCTGTGTATATTTGGTAGATTGTAAAAGCTTTCATGGAATGGTGGCTTAGTATCATTGCTTTTTTTGCTATATTATTTTATACTGTAGTATATATGTATTTATTTCATGATTATTATAGTATTCAGCATCATAATGTGTTATAAGACACTGGGCTATGTTGAAACTTTTATATAATGTCTGATTGTTAATGCCTATAACATTCAATGTTTTAATTGACTTTTGATTAGATAAAGGTGATTAAAGTTTTAATTAAGTTTGGAAGTTAAATTTAAATAACATTTACTATATACATATATTATGTGACACTTTCATCAAAGAGATGACTTTCTTTCTTATAAACTCTATATCTGTTTATAAAGCATGGTTTGATAGAATATAACAAATTTGGACGAAAATGTATTGTATCAAGATAAAAAAGTTACAAATTACACCTCATTAATGGTTGAGATTTATCACTTTGTTTTTATAACATCTTTAATTAAAGTTTACAAGAATGCTAGTCATTAATTGATTTATAATTTATGCTTGAGATATAAAATCTACCTGACAGTGATTTACAGCTTTCTGTTTTTATAGGATACATTTCCTTGATTAAATACGCGTCAAAGTTTTTGCTTTAGCGATTGAATACTGACATTATCTGGCCTTCCTATCAATGAATATTTGTATTTAAATGGCATTTAAACATCCTAATTTGTAAGAATTGAGATGTTAAGTTTACTTTAGGACTGAACTATGCATTAATTTATTAGGATTCTCATATCTTATCAAAGGTTAATGCCTTTGCCATGTTAAATTGTCATTACAGTAAATCATGTAATATATTATTAACTCTTGACAAATTATAACATGCAATTTAAGGCAAAACATTAATGTGTAAATTATTATCTATTATTGTAAAATAAATCATTACCACCACCAGTTTCATCACAGTATGAAATAGTTTCTAACTTAATCACATAAATTTGATTTATTAGTGACAAAAGAAATTTTTTACTATTTACAAACATTGCATACAGTGATACATCATAAGTGTTTTCAAACAGACATGGTAGATTTAGAACTCAATTATTTCATAATTATTAAAAAAAGCGTTAGACAGCTAGCTTCAAAATAAAAATATGATGTAATTCTATTGTACTTGCAAATCAATGTGTAATTTGGAGAAAGAAAAACTGTTACAGTAATTTACTATTTACTAAGATAAAATCATATTAGTTACCATAGAGACTCAATAATTAAAAAGTTAAAAGTAAATTTCTGTGACATAAAGAGACCAGCACCAGAATCCTTCAATGATTTGTCTGCAGGTTCATCCTATAGACTAGTAAAAATTCTCTAAGGTCTTGGCAGATATTTCGTTCTCTTTTAATCAAAACCTTACTTTGGTAGGATTATTATTTGAAATTCCATGTAAGATAAAGGCATGACATTAGTGTGATAGACTCACTATATATTTGACATGTAGATCATGAAATATAAGTCTTGTAATGTTACAGTATTAATACAAGGTGAGGTGTACATGATTTATTATCAAGATAATATCTTGGTCAAAACACTCTAATCCTAACGGTAGGACCATTAACAATTGCTAGCATTTCAAGCTATACTTTTATCCATATATAGAAATTTCTCAAGGAACAGTTTTTAAAAGTTTAAAAGTAAAAACAAATGGTAACAAGTTTGATCTGAATGTTTATTAATGAGATTGAAACTTTTTATAATGATTAATGTGATAAAAATGAAGGTGTAGGGTTGTCAATGTTACAAATAGGTTAAAAAAATATGCTCAATGTTTTCAGTTTTATAGTATAATAAGTGAAGTGTAACAATAAGAAAATATTAAAGGTAAAGTGATATACTTAAAGTAACTGAAACGTTACCATCTCATTGTGTGGAGATGAAATTTAATGTGAAATTAAATATGAAAACTCTCCCTATATCATACAGTGGATTGACCTTATATGTAAATAAATGATGTGGTAATGTTTTGTAGTTCAGTTAAATTGACACATTTTTAGAATTACTAGGATTTTAAAACCTGGAAATATATATATATAACATGAAATCATGCTTTATAAATGACTGTTTAGTTAATCTTAGGGATGAATTTTATAATGGAAGGAAATATATAGATATATAAATGGATTCACAAAATTATCTGCTGTATATCACTATATATGCTAGGTTTGTAGACAGTTTGGAATAGATTTCTGCTTTTATAGATATTTCCATTGTCATTTAATTCTTGTTCTGAAATAGATGATAAAAATCAGGGGAGAGTGAAATGGGATATGTGGATTCAGGAGAGTGTGGGAAAGGGACATGTGTGGGTCATGGAAAAAGGAATTATGAGATGTGTGGATCAGGGAAGGGGAGCAAGAGGGATGTGATGAATCAGGGGTAGGACAAGGGGAGTGCAGATAGGGGTGTGCAGATGAGGGGAGTGGAGAAGAGGGATAGAAAAAGGTGGATGTGTGGCAAAAGGGACGTGTAGGTGAGGGAATATGGGGAAATAAGAATGTGATGAATCTTTGTATGGGAATAGGGTTGATAAGGGGGTGGCCAAAAATGGATTTGCTGAACAGAGGAGTTAAAAAGAAGATCTGCTAGTCAAAGGAGGGGAAAAAAGGGGATGTGTTGATCAGGGGAGGGATATGTAGATAGGAGATTAGGGATTTAGTGCATCAGTGGGAATTAAAGGATATGTGTGGATCAAGGTTATTATGATGTGTGGTTTAGTAGTGAAAGGAGAATCAAGAAGAGTGAGAAAAAGCCATTGCTTGTCTGCTGAAATATGACTAAATGGATAACTTAAATGCTGGGAAATGCTTTATATGCTATTTTTATTCTGTCATTTCATACTTGTATCTTCATATTTCATGTATATATTATTGGTTGATTTGCGGCTTTGAGTTGCTGATTTTATTGGCTTATACTAATGCATGTGGATACTGCTGCATTATGTTTTACAGTTACAAGCTAGTATAGACAGCTCATTCATTCCGGCATCTCCGCCGCAGCCCACCATTGATACACAACAGGTAACTACGTGTAACCAGGGGTCAAGGTCACTTCTGTCTCACCTTTATCACAATAACAGTACTATAAAACTCACGCACTTATTTGCATGTCACATTAATAGTCAGTCCTGTCATTACTAACATGATCTCTTTAAAGGTGAAGGACGCAATGTGGCAGTATTTATCTGAAAGCATTCTTAAATGATATATGAAAGACAAATAATTTCTAGAAAAAATTTGTTTCAGATGTTCAGGATATGTCCTAATCAGGATATCATTGTTTTGAAAATGACAGCCACTGATGGTCCTTGACCTTTAAACATTGAATTAATAAATATAGCTTCTAAACCTGTCATAATAGTTCTAACCTGGTTAGAAAGAAATAAATATATATATCTTAGATGAAGTGATATTTCTCAAGTGTTTATAACTTTAGATATAAATATAGTTATAAAATAGTTTTTCAATTACCTTGTAACCTGATAATATATGGAATATACTAGTGTCATGACTATTGCATGTTTGTTGTATATGTTAAAGGGAGACTATAAATAGATTTTCCTACTTTTCTTTATAGTTACCTTGGTCAAATGCAACATAAGGGAGCATTTATCAGTGTCTGTGTATAATTACATTTGTGACAATATGGTTATACTGGTTACAGCATGGTTACACTGATTATGCTCCTTCTTATAAAGTGAAAGCATGCTTTGATGTTACTTGGTAGGGATGTTGCCAATGGCCAATAGATGACTTTTCTTGATTTTTATGTCAGAATGTCAAAGGTCAAGACCACTAAAAAGATTGTCCTTTTATTATATAATATTAATATGTTAATCATCATGGCCTTGACACTGTATGTACTAGTGAATGCTTTGGCCTACAGACCTAAAATTCATTGTGATTAGAAGATGAAGGTCATTGACTTTGTGTTCATTAGGTCAAGGTCACATTGAAGCATGAAATACTCCAAATCAAGAACAAGAGTATTGTAAGTCATAGGATTGTAAAACCTAATATGTTATAATACTAGTATGACAATTATATAATTATCAACATACAAGTAAACTTTCATAAAATATGCATAAGTATGTAAATATGCCACTGATACAGCAAATGAAGTGGGGCATAAGTGTCCTAGAGACACATTTGTAGTTTTTACATGTGACACTGTTTACACTGATACATGTGACACTATGGTTACACTGATTTTAGAATGTGACACTATGGTTACAATGATTTTAGAATGTGACACTATGGTTACAATGATTTTAACATGTGATATTATTTAATTTTATAACAGACATATGTTCACTCGTTATGTGCGGTGTTTGAGAAGCCTCAGGTACTGTTTCATAGTAACCAATATAAACATTTGTTAGACGCCACTGCTATATGCTATAGCCTCAAAATGTCGCACCGCCCTAGACCAAGAAATATATCTTCTTCTAAATCAATCACGGTCTGTAGGTTTACTTTACTTTTTAAAACAGCAGAAAATACATAGAACCATCAATGGTTTATGATCAAAGTTGGAGGTCAGAGGCAAACTTTAGTAGGGCTTGTTGCACAGAAATATAAGGGTAGGGAAGGTGTATATTTGGGACCTTACTCTTACTTCGCTTGGTAGAGGGACAGGAAGGTTAACACTCCAATGATTGTTCCTTGTTTATTAAACAAATTATCTTTTGGATTTGTGTGTTGCAAAGAACTGAGGAGTCCCTTCCTTTATATGGTCCCTAAACTATTGTGGTATTCAAATGTTATTGTATTTTTAAAAAAAATTGCAATGTATATAAACACTACTGTTCAATAGGTTGGGTTTTTTTTAGGTAGAAATAATTTAATTTTTTTATAAGAATAAAAAACCTGCCGTATGATTAAGATTCTAATATGTTTTTTTTTACAATTTTGTTTCATGCTTAGATGTTGCTACATATGATATTCAAAGAAGTTTTAGAGAAGTCATCTTTCAAAATTTGTAAAGAGCTAAAGCATCTTGTAAAGCTAATGGGACTTGGATACCATGCTGGTCACTGCTTTATTTTAACACACTTTTCTGATAACAAAATGCCTTCAATTAAAAAATGCTTGTGTCCAAATTCATATGTAAGAAAATCCATTTGATGACTTTAAATGGTTCAGCATATTGCATGATTTACCTCCCAGAGTAAGAATGCCAGTATGTCTTCCTTCTACATTCCATTCTGTTCTAATTAGGTGACATGCTGACTAGATTTGTGGCTTTATTTGGGGTTTATATTGTGATTGAAATCTCCTTCAATGTTTGTTCTATAATTGTTAAAATGTCCCTGAAGTTGGTCATTAATTTTGAATTAATTTAACATTTTAATTTTGTTGTATTTATTAGTTTTGTTTTAAATTAGTTTGCATGTACCTTGGGCATTTGGAATGTGAAAGGAAAGATATTGATGTAAAATCAACAGCTTTTGTTATCCCTACATGGAAACCTTCCCTAGTCAATGTTTTCTTTTGTTATTGTAAAGAAATGAAGACTTTATCTGGTATTTTATCCAGCTTTTAACTGACATTATCCTAATGTTACATGGTTCAACCTGTCATACTGATGTATTACCATTCCTTATGAAGCAGGATCAACACTCCAAAAATCAATACCGCTCTTGCAAATTATATGCACTTTATATCCCGCTCAGTCTTTGTTTTGTTTGCTTTTGCATTTGCCAATTGCATTTCGATTGAAATAAATTAGCGGGACTTTACCAGTGAAGATTTAGTGATAAAAATATTCCGAGTCATTAGTGAGTGAGTAATTAAACGAGTTGGTAGATTTTAGAGATTTTAAATTGGAATGTTGTGCTTAAGGACAATGACTCACTGAAATTGTAAACATAACTTTATACAGAATATATTAGCAGGTAATAATTATGTAATGTGATTTTTATCTGTGATTTAGTTTTTGTTATCAATGATTTTTTGATATTTTGAATATTGATGGCATATTGAAAATTGTTTAAAAACAGAAACTTCTGTTGTTTATGAACAGTGTAGTGGAGATATTTTTTTTCTTCATATTTTTGTTTTTTATTTATCTAAAAAAGTAAAAATAGATCGATGTTTATTTTATTTAGAGTATAATTTGATAATTGACATATTACGGGATAAAATGATAAGTGGTGTTTTTAAGTAAATAGATATCAAATGTATTTCAATTGTATAAAGAATGTTAGTATTTTAAAATATTTTAAGGGTAAAAAACACACACATATGCATTATATCATGTTACAAGATATGGACCAGGAATATATATATACAATGTTAGATAAATGTATTTTTGTCAAGCTTGACAATAAGGCTCACAATGTTTTAGGTAAGGATATGCATAATGACAGAACAGAAAAACTGTGTGTTATACATACTAATCTTTTTAGCTCACCTGAGCATGCTCAGGGTGAGCTTTTAGGATCGATGATTGTCCGTCGTCCGTCCGTAGTCCGTCCGTTCACATTTTGTTGTTAACACTCTAGCGGTCGCATTTTTGCCTCAATCATCATCAAACTTGGTCAGGATGCTTATCTAGTTGATAGCTCGGATGAGTTCGAACATGGGTCATCTCGGATGAAAAACTAGGTCACAAGAGCTAAAAATAGAAAAACCTTGTTAACACTCTAGAGGTCACATTTTTGCCTCAATCATCATCAAACTTGGTCAGGATGTTTGTCTAGGTGATAGCTCGGATGAGTTCGAACATGGGTCATCTCGGATGAAAAAGTAGGTCACCGGAGCTAAAAATAGAAAAACCTTGTTAACACTCCAGCGGTCACATTTTTGCCTCAATCATCATCAAACTTGGTCAGGATGCTTGTCTAGGTGATAGCTTGGATGAGTTCGAACATGGGTCATCTCGGATGAAAAAGTAGGTCACCGGAGCTAAAAATAGAAAAACTTTGTTAACACACTAGCGGTCACATTTTTGCCTCAATCATCATCAAACTTGGTCAGGATGCTTGTCTAGGTGATAGCTTGCATGAGTTCGAACATGGGTCATCTCAGATGAAAAACTAGGTCACCGGAGCTAAAAATAGAAAAACCTTGTTAACACTCCAGCGGTCACATTTTTGCCTCAATCATCATCAAACTTGGTCAGGATGCTTATCTATTTGATAGCTCGGATGAGTTCGAACATGGGTCATCTCGGATGAAAAACTAGGTCACAAGAGCTAAAAATAGAAAAACCTTGTTAACACTCTAGCGGTCACATTTTTGCCTCAATCATCATCAAACTTGGTCAGGATGCTTGTCTAGGTGATAGCTTGGATGAGTTCGAACATGGGTCATCTCAGATGAAAAACTAGGTCACAGGAGCTAAAAATAGAAAAATCTTGTTAACACTCTAGTGGCTACTGTTTTGATCCAAATATCCTGTAAATTGGTCTGAAAGTTTGTTTTGATGATTTCTAAGTCAAGTTCGAACATGGGTCATCTTGGATGAAAAACTAGGTCACACCGCCCAAATATTGAAAAACCTTGTTAACATTCTAGTGGTCACATTTTCGACTCAATTATCATCAAACTTGGTCAGGATGCTTGTCTAGGTAATTGCTCGGATGAGTTCGAAATCGCATGTGAAACTAGGTCACCGGAGCTAAAAATAGAAAAATCTTGTTAACACTCTAGTTGCTACTGTTTTGATCCAAGTATCCTGGAAATTGGTCTGAAAGTTTGTTTTGATGATTTCTAGGTCAAGTTTGAATATGGGTCACCTGGGTAAAAAACTAGGTCACACTGCTCAAATATGGATGATCCCTGTTAACACTGTAGTGGTCACATTTTTCACTCACCTGTCATGAGACTTGGTCAGAATGCTTGTCTAGGTAATTGTTTGGATGAGTTTGATGGGTCAGGTGAGCGATCTAGGGCCATCATGGCCCTCTTGTTATGTAAAAGTCTAGAAAAAAGCAGAGGAAGTCAATGAAGTCAAAAACAAAATTTGAAATTCTGTTATAGATCAGTTGATGCACTTAAAAGGGAAAAATCTGCAAATGGAGAAATAAACTGAAAATCAACTTTTGTGTCACCTGCACCGTCTGTCCATCTCAAAACTTGTCTGGACTACTCATCAAAAACTACTGGTGCAATTTCATCCAAACTTTACAGGAATGATCAGTTCCAAGTTTAGATGTGGATATTGTTGGCATTTTTCGGTTCAATGATTTTTGTCAGAGTTATGACCCTTTAATGATTTTTATTTTTAAAGTTTGTCTGGACTACTTTTCTTATACCACAAGTGCAATTTCAATGAAACTTTACAGGATTGATCTGTAGCTCTAGTATTTGTGCATTTTACACAGGTTTTCCAGTTGAATGATTTTTGCCTGAGTTATGTCCCTTGAATAAGAAAATGTCTTTTCATGGTTAAAGATGAATATTCTCATTTACAATAACTTTGAGCTGATTGTTCATTTATGTGAGAAAGCTTGCAGCTGCTTTCGATACCTAGGTGTCAACTTGTATCTTCATTAATGCATTGAAGGTCATGTGTTTTGTGCCTTAAATTGATAGTTACTTAAAACCCTATTGCAAATCTGTGATGAATTTACAGAATATGATATTGTAATTGATATTAGTCTAACAATGTAATAAAACACATAGTGCATATTGCTTTTTATACATACTGACATGTATGCACTGCAGCCGCTGCTTCCAGAGTTTTACAAGGCTAATATATGCTAAACACAGGTTAACTGCTAGGAATGATGGAATAATGATCTATAAATTCTTAATTTGTACTTAAAACGAGTGCTTGCATAATGCAGTATCCAAATATGTTAATTTGGAACTAGATGAGCTAATTGAAACAAGTGCTTGCTTAATGCAGGTTGCCACTTATATGAATTCAAACTTTTTTGCCTTTAATGCTGACTTTAAAAGTTTGTGTCATTAGTTAGGCTATACCTATGGGAAATACTTTGTTACTTTTATTTACTTGATCAGTACTTCCTGCCCATTTTGTTACTTTAATTTACTTATACAGATCATCCTGTCCATTTTGTTAATGCTTTTATTTTACCTATACAGTAACCCTGCCTAGACTATATCAGTTACAAAATCAGATATCCTTACATTCAGATTTAGTTTATAATAAGTCATCTCTTTTAACTGTATTTACTATGATGTTACTTTAGAGAAGTTTAGTGAATTTGATATGTATGAAGTACATCAGTGCATCTTTACATCAATTTAGAATTTTATTTTATAATTTAGATAAAATAAGGACTAGATTATTTATATATTAGATTTATTATTGGCATTTCCTATAAGTGATATAATAGTTATGTTATTAGTTATAAATAATATAATAAAGCACATAATACTGTAGGGCACGAATCAGTGATAGTTTAGACATAATAAATATCTAACATTTGTTTGTTTTTAACATTTGTTTTTATGTATCTTCAGCACAATGCAGTGAAGCGGCAATTGAAGGAAAACAAAGATACAGTAGTAAGGCAGAAGTCAGAAATAGATCAACTGAAGTCCAAGCTAGATATGTCAACTTCTAAACTTACTGGTACAGAGAAGGCTCTGTCAGAGGCACTGAAAGATGTTAAACAGGAAAAAGATAAATTCTTGAAAGTTTCTACAGAATATAACAGAAAAGTCAGAAATCTGGAAAATCAGCTGAAAGAAGTAACACAAAAGATGGAGAAATATCATGAAAATTCCTTGATTAAAGATAAAGAGAATCGTAAATTGGATTTAGAATTAAAGCAAACACAACAGAAATTGAGAGACCATGATCGTGAAATCTTAAAATTGAAAGCTGTAGAGCATGAGTACAGACAAACTAAAGAAAAACTAGATGACACTGAGAAAATAGCTTCCAGGATGCGTGCAGAAATAAAAGAAAAAGATCAGCAGTTGAAGAAGATAGAGATTGAATATGATGAGCAATATGAACAATTAATGCATGAGTTTTCCAAGGAAAGAGATGCCACTGAGCATCACATTGAAGAGTTGAAAGAACAGCTTGTTGAAGCACAGAAAAAATCTACAATGTCAGACCAGGTGTCAAGTGATGTTGCTGAAATGTTAAGAGAAAAAGATGAAATCATTGCTCAACTTGAGGAGAAAGTTATTGAAAGTGAAACAAAAATGGTTGAAATAACTGAGGAGTTGAAAGAAGATGAAGAAGAGAATTCAGAACTTCATCAAAGTGTTGAATTGTTAGAAGAGGAAAGAAATAACTGTATAGTTAAGATTACCGATTTGGAAAAATCATTACAGCATTATCAGAATCAAAGTCAAAGAATGGAGAAAGAAAATGCTTCAATTAGAAAACATATGGATGATTTAAGAAAAGAAAATACAGAACTTAGTGAAAGGTTGAATTCAGAAAACAATCTAGTGGAAGACAATGATAGTTTAAAAATAACTGTGAAAGAACTTGAAAATGAGGTTCATAGTTTACATGAAGAACTAAATAAGGTTGTTGATGGACATGAAAGAGTATCACATTCATCAGATGGAACAAATTCTCATGATCATCTTCACACATTTATCCATGCATCATCTGAAATAAATGATGTAAATGACAATCTAGTAAAAGTTAGGAAACAGTTTGAATCAATTGTCTCTAACTCAAAAGGTGATCAGAAAGCTAAGTTAACAAGTGTAGCTGAAATGCTTGAGAGTCTTGGACAAAAGTGTGGTAATGTCTCTGATATACTTAAAGAAGGATCGCAGAATCAGTCGGCTGGAGATGTTATTGAAAAACAAACTGCAACAGTTGTACAAAGTGGAAAAGATAACCAGGAAGTAGAGTCACTGAAAAATAAAAATAAGCAAGCTCAAGCAGAAGCAGAAAAATTAAAGAAAGAACTTTCAGAAGTGAACAAGAAATACAAAGTATTACAAAATGAGGACGGTAAGCTTAAAGAACAAATTCAGGTTATTGAAGGAAACTGTAAAGATCAGTTAAAGAACTTGTCAAAAAGAGTTGAAGAATTCACCGTGGTAAATAAAGTGAAAGTAGATACAAAATCAAATAAGTCAGAAAAGAAACAAAGTAAATCAAAATCTTGCATTTCTGATCAAATTGAAGAACAATTAAATGAACTTGAAATGAAAGTAGGAATGGTAGAAAAGGTGTTGAACACTCATGATTTAAGTATTTCTAGTATTGAGGCTGATAGTCATGCAGAGACTGAAGATGAAAGTGAAGCAGAAGCAGATGATTCTGATGATTATCTTGATTCTAATAGTGAGGAGTCTGAACCAGAAGATGATGGAGATGATAGCACTGTAGCTGATGATGGTGACAGCCTTCTTGGTAAATTAAAAGAAATGAAAAAACAGTTACAGTCGACCAATAATAGAATAAAAGAGTTGACAGGAGATATCAGTGAATTAGACTCGTCAGGAGTTGGTTCTGAAGTTGCAGCAGAGACTGAATTAAGGCATACACTACTGAAATGTGGGGAGAAAATAGATAACTTAACTGTGAGATTATCTGATGGTTTGAAAACAGCAAGGAGTGAAACTCCAAGGTTCTCGGACAATACTTGGGCTTTCCAAAAGTGTGTTGGTAAATTAAAAGAGAAGGTGACAGAAGTTAGTGTTCTGATGCATGAGCATGATGAGTTAAATGCTAAAGAGTTGAAACATGTACAGGAAAAGCTAACGTATTTAGCTGAGTTTGTGAACCAAATAGACAGACTAGGTGACAGTGATTGGGAGATAGCAGGAAAAATTGCTAAACAAGAACTGAAATTCCAGCATCTTCTAGTTCACAAGGAAAAAGCTGCAAGAAAGAGCACACTGAAGTATGAAGATCGTCTACAACTTTACGCAGATAAGCTGGCTTTCGAAGCAATGATTCTTGGTCAGATGGGAATTCTGATTCAGAGGCAGCAAGTTGGGTCCATGTATAAAGATGTTTTGTTAAGAGAAATCCATGAAGCCAACTTGCATATCTTGGAGCTAGAAAGAAGGATTGATAATGTAACACGTGAAGTAAATCAAACAGATCAGGAAAAAGATTTAGTGTCTTCATACGCAGCCATTCTTGCAGAGAAAATAGTTCTTGAAGGTCAACTTGCTTCCGGAGCCATGGTTCAGGACATGGAAACTAGTGAAAATGTAGAAGTGCTTTCAGCTCTTAATGTGAATGAATCACCAGCTGTTCTTGCTATGGAAATATTCTTAAGGTCGCAAGTTGATTCATCTGTTACTGAACAATTACAAAAGTTTGCAGAGGGTCTAAACTCTTTCTCCAATCATATAGTAACTAGGGCTCTCCTTCAAGGGGAGATTACTCATGCTCTACAAGTTGTGAAAAAGAAATTCAAAAAGGGAGACAACTCTGAAGATCTTTCGAGTCTAGTAAAGCGTGAAAGACAATTTGCATTTGATGAATTACAAAACAGACATAAATTGATATTAGACTTAATGAATGAAAGTGAACCCTCAGTCATGACTACATTAATTCAGTTGATAGAATTCTCTCAAGGACCAAACTCACCTACCCTCAACTCAGTTTGTGAAAAAATATCTAGTGTTCTAAAAAACAAAATAGATGAATTAGAAAAATCTGTACAATCCAGTGATACAGAAACCAAAACAAAACTTAAACATATTATATCCCACCTACAATCAGAGTTAACTGATGCAATATCTATATTCCGTGAAGAACATCAATGTTATGTACAAACTGCCTCCCCAGATATTAATCCAAATGTGTTGAAGTTTTCAGCAGATTCATTGTCGACGGATCTTGCTGAAATGATAATCCAAAAAGCTGTGATAAGTGGAACATTTGTATATGTGCAAGGTTTAGTTGAGAATGCACCAGATGTTGCTGTAAGTCATATGATGGAGCCTATTGCAAGTGAAGGTCAAGGTCTGTCAGATCTGGCTAAAAGTCTAGGACAGATTCTACTAACAGAGGCTGCCAATAAACAAAAAATAGCTGAAGAAGTTAGGAATGTTTCTTCAAGTGATGGGTCAGGGGTTGCTAAGAGTGTAGCAGATCTTGTTGGTGTAATACCAGATCTTGAAGCTTATCCTCAATCATTTGATGTCTATGCTGCCACTCTTGTACGAGAAGCAATGTTCCAGTCACAGTTGACATATACAACATACAAACTCAAACTCCAGTACCATCGTGAACTCAGAGACATAAAGATTAAAATGGAAGCTGGAGAAAAGGTGGTTTTACCATCAGAGATAAGCAGGGAGGCAGAGAGTGATATTCAAGCATCATTGGCAACATTTGAGGAAATTCTTAACACTAAATACCAGGATGAATGTGAAGTATTACATCAACTAGAGGTTGAAATAGACAACTTAAAATCTGTAACAGGTGATAAATCATGCAGTAAGTGTAAAACATTTGAAACTACATTGAAAGCACTAGAAAAAACATACCAACATGAGGTTTCAGTAGCTCAAGAAAGGCAAAATGTTCATACTGATGTTCTACGTCAAGAGGTCAATAATGTCATAATAAGGGTAGATAAATTCCTGGAAGATCATGAGAGAGAGAAAGAAAGTATGATAGCAGATTATGAAGATCGTATAGCAACACTACAAGATGAGTTTGATCTGATGAGAATAGATCATGAAGAGGAATTGGAGCAGGTTAAACAAGACATCATGACAGCAGTTAGTGCAATAAAGGCAACAGAGGAGGAAACCGAAACAACCTCCATAGATCAGATTAAACATCATAATAAACAACTCATGAAAATGTGTACACTTTCTAAGGTAAAAATCTCATCATACTGCTTATCCAGTTCATTAAATAAATAACATGATGTGTGTAATATTTATATCAAAGAGAAAAGTTTAAATGAAAAAGTAACGTTTACAGTAGAAGTCAAAAGTATATTAATGTCCTTGATTTAATTTTAAAATTTTCTTCATCAGTAGAAAGAGTTGTGGTCCCTAAAAAATTTCAAATTCATACAAATTTCATATCCTGTGAAGAAAAAACAAATTCAAGTTATTAATAAGTATTTCCGGTTTACAGTTAACAAATGTTTACTTGTTATTTTGTCTGAACAGGAGTTGTTGTTAGAAGTAAAGAATGGTGTAGTGGTTGATCAAGGGGAAGAACTCAACAATAGGATAGAGTCACAGTTATCTCAGATAATGGAGCTAGAGTCAGATCCTAGCTTTACTCTGGTACGTCTCAAAGCTTCTACCCATTTTATATATGTGTGTGTAAATGTAACAACTGGAAATATGTGCATTTCAATTTAAAACTTTGTTTTCCTCCATGTTTTTATCTGGATATTTCTTTCTCTATAGACTGATCAATTAACTGATCTATAAAAGTTTCATAGATATGATTGATTAGGTATTGACTGAAATGTAGGAAATGCTTCATGTTTTAAACTGATTTATTGATATTCTCTTATATAAAAGCAATCATTGATTTGAACAAAAGCTTTGCTATCACATAGATACAGTTAATTTATATTGAGTAGACTGTCTTTCAAAAATAAAAATGTACATATATTTCCAGTTTAACAATGTGTTGTATGATATCCCAGCTGAAACCTTGTGTTGTTCATACAAAACTATTTTATTCTATGACAGATGTTTTTCATAAGATTATTCTTTTCTTACAAGAAGAAAACTCCTTTAGACAACAAGAATTGAATGATATATTTTGATACTGAATTTCTAAGACATCAAATTTTATGAATTTATGAATTTGTTATTTTATTACATCTTTGGTGTGTTTAATGTACAAAGAAAGACGAAAATTATTATTACTTTCTCAGGGGCTTAGTGTGGTTTAAACTTATCTGTAGGCCCCCGGGGTGATGCACCCCTAAAAATTTGTTTGATAATGTCGGAGTTTCATTTTGGCAAGAATAAGTCTAGATACATTCAAGGATGTCAGAAATTTTAGGTAGACCAGTAGACTGTATGAAGTTTGTCATTTTCTTGGAAAAAAGTGTAAACCGTGGGTATAATCCAGCCCAGTTTCTTGGGGATTTTATTATATGGTTACATAATCACAAAATTTATAGTTCAACAAATAACAAATATTTTTACCTATGCTATTGTAAATAAATAAGGGTTAAAAATATTCATGCTTGATTCTATCTATGAATAAGAAACATGTTTAAAGTAAAACTGCAAAAGTTTGTCTATGTTTGCCCGAAAATTAATGACAGTATGTTAAATGTTATAACATTAAAACATAAAGACGCCAAAGTAAATACAAAAAAAAAGGCATGTAAATATTTTAAAGTATTTGTTTTGTCAGGGTTTGTTTATTTCTGTCTGACCTAGTAAATATACACCTTGAGTAAGCAGTGTTTAATATATGTTTGAAAGATAAGAAAACTTAATTTATGTCTAGCTGTATAAATCAATAAGTAGTGAATAGCCTCATAATTATATCTGTCAAAATATGCAGCAATTAATTTATGACACAGTGATGTTAATATCCCAGACAGTCACAGACAGACTAAAATACCAGTATTGGAAGGGCAAAAATCAGGTCTTTGTGGGATAGAAATTGTAAAAAAAAATTCAGTTAAAACATACTGTATGTCAGGTCTATGTATACCCAAGAACTGCAAAAAAAATATCTTTGATCACAAGTTCTTTTTAACTAAAAAAAAGTAGAAATGGTGCTTATGCAAGTTGATGTTGTGTGTTGTTTTTGTTTATTTTATGTTCTGTAACATTTTGTTATGCTTTTTATGTTGTCTATATTCTTCTGTTGTTTACTTGATTTTCAGGAGGTAACTGTTACTACCCCATCCCCTACTTCCCCTGGTTCTCCCCAATTCCCCGCTGAACCCCTACCAAAACTGGAACGATCTCTTAAACTGGACAGGTCACTAAGTGCAGAAAGGTCAGATGAGGTGAGTTTTTATTGTTTGCATGTTTCCCAAACTCAGCTTGATGATCTATGATTGTTAGTGCTATACTGGCTGAAATATTCTTCAAAATAATAACAGAATAAATCTTTAATATAGATGTGTCCAAATCTGCTCACTTACAAGTTTTAATGATTAAATTTTATGTTTAGTTTACTGAAAAAAATGCTTTTACTGAGTCTGTCTTAGGTTAAAAGCAACTTTTTTGTCTACTTGTAAAGCCTTAAACAAACTTTATACAGACCTGAAGGAACCTTGGTTTGCAACCACAATACCAGTAATGAAAAAATGTTTTAATACTTTAATATATAACTGTGCATGTCTTAATGGGACAAAAAATAGAATAAATGAAAATTTGATAAGTGTATAACAAAATGTCTGGCCCTAGACAAGTTGATAAGAAATTAGGATAAGAACAGATCTGTGGTTGTTAGGGTATATAGAATTCAGCAATCAAGATTCATGTTAAATTATACAACTTTATCATAAAATTGAATTGCTTTTTTTCTTTTTATTTAAATAGCCTAGCCATCTCATTTCTGTGTTTCTTCTTTTGAATAATTAGAATTTGTTTGTTGTTAGATATCAGTTGTACTCTACATATTCTTGTAACCAAGCAGCTTTATATCTGTATTATACCATTTTTATTTCCCACAGCTTAAACTGTAATGGTTAAATACATTTCCAATTTAAGGGCATGTATTTGAAAATTATATTATATTCCATAATTGATTTTCCAAAATTACCTGTATGTGTATTAAGTCTTATTTTGAGTGACCACAGTCATATATATATATATATTTCCCCTATTTTATTTACATATTTTATTTCCAGCAGTTATATATATTCCTATTTATACATAAATTTTCTATTTGATTATATGTATCACAGTTTAATGCATTTTGTATTTCATATCCCACAGTTGATTTTTCGTCCACACTTTACTACTATTTCATTCCCTATATTTTACAGCATGTAGACAAGTTATTGGAGAGATCTCAACATGAACATGAGATGGAACTGTTAAAGAGAGAGAAAGAAGAAGCTTTAGCTGATGAGATCAAGGTCACCAAAGCTGGTAAGGTCATCACTATGGTGATATGTAATATAAATACATTCTCTACCATATTACATTTTTACAGCCGAATTATATCAGGAGCAGAAAAATATTAAAATGTCCATAGAAACCAAAGTCATTATCACAGATTGTGATAATTTGTAAGATTTAAAACTAAAAAAAGAAAACAATAAAAAAAAAACTTTATTTAACTTTATAATAACTTTTATTTAAGAAGACCATACTGATGTACAAATTTCACTAGGCTTCTAATCTGATTAAGAATTTGCCCAAAAAGTACATTTGACAATAAAGAATTATAGTTGGTCTAAGAATAAAATTTCAAGAAAGTCTAATTTGTATTATAATATTGTTATATTGACAGCACTGGATTCTATATAATATTGTTATATTGACATATAATATTGTTATATTGACAGCACTAGATGCTATATAATATTGTTATATTGACAGCACTAGATGCTATATAATATTGTTGTATTGACAGCACTGGATGCTATATAATATTGTTATATTGACAGCACTGGATGCTATATAATATTGTTATATTGACAGCACTGGATGCTATATAATATTGTTATATTGACAGCACTGGATGCTATATAATATTGTTATATTGACAGCACTGGATGCTATATAATATTGTTATATTAACAGCACTGGATGCTATGAGAAAGGCATACGAGGAGGAGCTAGAACAAGAGAAAGAGAAATATAGACACGCCCTTAAAACAATGTTTACTGATGGTTATGTTGATGAAATCCGTAGAAGACATGAGTAAGTTATCACATATGTTTCTTTTATTTTGAACAAAAAGTTTTCTGAAAAGAAGAAAAGCTGAAAGCTTAATAGTGTGGTGTATAAAAAATCTATTTTAGCTAACTTGATAACTAACTATTACATCTCCCACACCTCAAATGTTGATTGTTTGATTCATTGCTAGGAATCATTAGTCTCTCACTGCTATTGGTTCTTGGTTCTACTTGTTGAGTTATCTCAGATAAGGTATCCAAGTACCTGGCTTATAGAGACTGGATGTTTCTCCTGCTTTAAATAATGTAAGAAGGAATACCTTGTATCTTCCCCTACAAGTAAAGTTGACAGGTCACAATTTAACCTTATCAGCTTCAGTGCCATTAAGATATGTAGCCATAATAAAGGTTTGTAAGTAATAGAAAGAATGAATACAGTTACTGCCTTGTTTATATGATATATCTATAATAAGTACCATGTGTATATATATTACAGCGAGGAAGCTGACAAGTTAAGTGAAGAATTAAGACAGGTGTCCATGCACTATGAGAGTAAATGTGAGGACTATAAACTGTTAGAGGACAGACTTGCCAGGACTAAAACAGAGTACCAGACTCATATAAACCAACTTGTGAAAAGGTATATCAATACATTTATCTCTAACATAAGAAATAAAACATAATTGTACAACAAGTGACAGTCATGTTCGTCAGACAATTATTTATACTTCAATTAAAATCTGTAAATGTACAGCTTGGAAAGTTAAGATCCTAGCTTATTTGACTATTATCTTTACATGGCAATCATTTTCTTCCAAGTTCTGGAATTATATTCTTGGTTCAAGTTGTATAATGTTTAAAGTATGTGTTTATAAAACATGAAGACCATTCTTAATAAATTTTTCAGATCGGACTGATAGCTTCATACAGGACAGTCCAAGTTAAAATTATATACCAACTAGCTCTGTGATGTAGTCAACTTCTTGCATTTGTATAAATTTGTTATTTATTTCATTTGTTTTGTATTCAAAAACCATCATGTGGTTCATATTTTCATGAAGAAATATTAACTTTTTACAGTAATGAGCACCTAACAGAGGTTGTTAACACAGAGATAGAGAATTTGAAGTCATTTATACAGACAAGAACTAAAGGTCAATTAACTGGTAGTGCATCACTGGAGGAGGAACTATATGATGCTCAGGTATACTTGTTAAAATCTAATTTGAGCCGTGCCATGACAAAACCAACATAATGGGTTTGCGACCAGCATGGATCCAGACCAACCTGCGCAGTCTGATCAGGATCCATGCTGTTCACTATCAGTTTCTCTACTTGTAATAGGGTTTGTAAGCGAACAGCATTAATAATGATCAGGCTGAGCGGGTGCGTAGGCTGGTCTGGATCCATGCTGGTAGCAAACGCACTATGTTGGTTTTGTCATGACGCGGCTCATTTGTTTTTCCCCTAATGTTTTCTATGCGTTATCATCATTAACCGCTGCGTTTTCGATTGGTAAACTCCTGTTATTGAATCAATGCATGTGTGACAGCAGGCAGTCTTGCTTTCCTCCCAACATTTCTGAAGGGATTTCAACAAAACATCAAACTTTCAGACAATGGTTGTCTTCACATGTCCTGGTGCTTATATTCAGAATGATGTGATTAATCTATTTTTGGCAGAAACATTGACCTTTGTAGTTGTTTTTTTTTATATAAATTAATGAAACCTATTTGTAGTTCTTTTCCTGTCAACTGGATGTAAATTATACCCCAAAATGCAGGCTAGATACATTATATAATAATGTGATATAATCAAAGAAAATGTTTTCCCATGTAAACTATAACAATTGTTATTATAAATTAAGACTGTTGTACTTTAATCGGTACACATTTTCTGTTTGCAGTAAGTTTCACACATTTTGTACTAATAAATTGCTATTTGTTTAGATTATGGTACGTGTGAAGGATGCTGAGTTACAAAAGTTAAGACAACAAGTTAAAAACCTGGAGAACAGTCTAGAAAGAATCACAGAGGTCAGTGCAATTATATATGTTGTTTTATAGTATATATTGTTGTCACACCATTGTTGTTGTGGCTAGAATATAGTTAATTTCTTGCATATCTTACTGGACTTTCTAGTGTTTGCACTGATACAAGAAAATGATTATTTTCATGAAATATACAAGAAAAAGAATCAAACATAGGCTGTCAGTATGAAGCCTTGTTTACACTTGAACATAGTAATCCTATCTATACAGGCAGCCAGTGTAAGATTCCTGTGTTTAAAATTACTGTCATTATATAACTGATGTGCTGTAACATTTGGTACAAATTTCCAAACAAGCTTACAATCATATACCCAAAAGGTACTGTATTTGGAAAGAAAGAAATATGTTGAACTATTTTACGGCAACAATTTTTATAATTGAAGTGTTAGCAAAGGCTATGAGGAGGAAAATCACTGAGGTACCTGTTACTGAAACTAGATGCAATAATTGAGATTAAATTAAAAGATGTCTTTAAAAAGTTCTCATTAATTGCAATTTTTACTTTAAACAGCTTTTATAATACCAGTATATTTTGAATTATTCCAGGAGCAACGTTATACAATGACCCAGTACCTTCAGTGCTTGAAGAAGAATCAAGAGATTCAGGCCAAGTTGAAGGAGGGAACATTTATGAGCAAGGAGAGGAAAGACAGCACTAGTACACCTGAAGACCCGGCCAAGGGCGCTAGAGCTCTCAGACGAAGTAAGGCTCAAACATTTTAGAGAGAAACATTTCTTAACTTATTCACTAAGAAATAAATTGATTTGTTTCGTGCAATAACATGTCATTTATTACTGAAAGTTCATGTTGTGGATGAAATTTATGAAATTTATTTTTGATTTATATATAACATTTATCAACATTTTTTCATGAAATGTACTCTTTTTGTTTAATAAACAAATATCAATTTGATTTTATTAATTTATTTGATACATTACACTGAACTTGCATATTAACAAGGTGATCATATACATGATTTCATATAACTTGTTGACTATTTAAATATTACATTTTTTAGACCCATCTTTCCATCAGCGAGCTAGAAGTCCGAGCCCAGAAACGTCTCCCAGAAAAGACGGCTCAGAACACCATAGTCGTGATTCTGTTAGACGTAGAGGGCACTTGAGTGCAAAAGGTTTGTTTCTCCTTCAGTCCCAATTGTCTTGATTTAAAAATTATTATCAGAGTAAAAAGTATTTCAATTATTAGACAATTTATTTTAATTTTCCTATCTTGAAAATCTTTCTATAAAAATACTTGTTTTTACTGTGAATATTTTGCATTAAGACACTTTATATGTTCAAAATAATTATGATGGCTGTACATGCTACAAGGTACATTAAGTGTTTTGCGTCTATAAACCAGTGCATGTAGATATTGGTTACCACATGTGTACACATGTACTAGATATCTGTATATATACATATATAAGATGATCATATACATGCATTCATATAACATATCAACTCATATCATCTCTATATTTAAGTGTCTTATATTTTGTTATTTCAGATTTGAAGAGATCAAAGAGCAGCCCTTCCCTACCTTTTGTTTTCGAAGCTAAGGGTACTGCTTCAGCCTCTGGTGCAGTGAACCGGCAGGCTCAAAATACTGGAGTAAACAGGCGCGAATCTGGCAAATATTCAAAGGGTGGAAAAAAATAAATTATAGAAATTTAACTAATTAAACTAATTGATAATGTTTATCTCATTGTAGACAATGTTATAATTACAATGTTAACACAATCTTATACATGGTGAGAGAATTTTAAACTATTTTAATTTTAGTTAAAACATGTTTATTGGACATAGATGTTATTCATATTCAAATGATAGAAGGAGCAAAGATAATTCAAAACATAGAAAACATATAATTATGTCTCCCCCACCTCGGGGGGGAGACATATTGTTTTTGCCCTGTCCGTCCGTCAGTCCGTCCGTCCATTCTTCGTTTCCGGACGATAACTAGAGTTCCTTTTGACCTACAGCTCTCAAACTTCATAGGATGAATGGTCTTATTGAGCAGATTATCCCTATTGTTTTTGGGGTCAGTAGTTCAAAGGTCAAGGTCACAGTGACCGTTGGTCAATTTCTTGTTTCCGGATGATAACTAGAGTTCCTTTTGACCTACAGCCCTCAAACTTCATAGGATGATTGGTCTTATAGAGCTGATGATCCCTATTGTTTTTGGGGTCAGTAGGTCAAAGGTCAAGGTCACACTGACCGTTGGTCAATTTCTCGTTTCCGGATGATAACTAGAGTTCCTTTAGACCTACAGACCTCAAACTTCATAGGATGATTGGTCTTATTGAGCAGATGATCCCTATTGTTTTTGGGGTCAGTAGGTCAAAGGTCAAGGTCACAGTGACCGTTGGTCAATTTCTCGTTTCCGGATGACAACTAGAGTTCTATTTGACCTACAGCCCTCAAACTTCATAGGATGATTGGTCTTATAGAGCAGATGATCCCTATTGTTTTTGGGGTCAGTAGGTCAAAGGTCAAGGTCACAGTGACCGTTGGTCAATTTCTCATTTCCGGATGATAACTAGAGTTCCTTTTGACCTACAACCCTCAAACTTCATAGGATGATTGGTCTTATTAATCAAATGATCCCTATTGTTTTAATGGTCAGTAGGTCAAAGGTCAAGGTCACAGCGACCGTTGGTTAATTTCTCCTTTCCGGATGATAACTAGAGTTCCTTTAGACCTACAACCCTCAAACTTCATAGGATGATTGGTCTTATTGAGCAGATGATCCCTCTTGTTTATGGGGTCAGTAGGTCAAAGGTTAAGGTCACAGTGACCATTGGTCATTTTCTCATTTCCGGATGATAACTAGAGTTCTTATCAGTGAGGACATTTAACTATTATTGATATATCAGTGATATATCAGTTGTCTGGTTTTATATACTCTGTTCTTTTTTGATCTTTCCACCCTTATGCGGTCATTTTCTTCCCAGCATTTATTCTCAGCAGTGGGGGAGACATGCGCTTTTTTACAAAAGCATCCTCTAGTTAAGTATTAATCATTATTTAGAAATTTCCGATTGTCTTCCTGTACATATAGCAATCTGTCATATAAAAAATCATATGTGCCAACAGTAAATTACTGTATTGTAATTGTATGCTATCCTGCATACTAATCATAAGTTTCATAATCATAGTGAAATATTCCATGTAAAGTTATGTGATCATATTTGATATTCTTTATGCTCCTTATTCTACCAAAGTAAGGCTATGTTCATGGTTAATATTTGCAATATTTTAACCCATGTCTATATACTGAGTGTTTTCCCCCACTGATATACAAATAAATTTGAAATATTTTTTTTCAAGAGAATTTTTTTCTTGAGAAGAGAGTAATGATTAGACAGAATTCTATGAATTTACTTACCATGTTTATATGATGTTAAATTTATATATCTGTCATAATGTATAAAGAAATCATAGACATATATGTGTATATGTATAGATACATACACAATTGTTTGTCAGTGTACAGAATCAAAATAACAGACAATATTTTAGTCCTTGTTGATGTATTATACCATTTATTTTTTACATATCATGTTGTGTAATATAAATCTTTGTTAATGATAACAACCTTGTATATTGCTTGTTAAATTTTTATATCATTATTATAACTTCATACATGTATACATCAATAATAGTTGTACAGTTAATATATTCACTGATTATGCAATTTTTGTTATTTTCTATCTTCATGCTAATGTAAATGCTAGAATACATTTCAAAATGCACACAGTTAAAGGTTGTAAGGAAGTTAGGTTAGATTTGTTTTCATTCACTTTATTAGACTAACTTGATGAATTTATTTCAAGTATATTTACTGTCTAAGTTCTATTGTATCAAAAGTAGATATACTGTAAACTATAATGTCCAGTTCAGTCTTGTACAGACATTTATTTGACTTACAGGAAAGTCCTTATTCATTTAATTTGATCATAGCAAGATTGTTTGAAGACTTTTGGTGCATTTGAAATGTATTCATGTGTGATATTTGGAGATGTTCTGATTTTACCAGAGTGAGAATTTTAGACTGTGTACCAATGTTACAATACCAGCCTAATTTGTGTACCAATCTTACAATACCAGTCTAAATTGTGCATTCTCTTGCCGTGTTATAAAACTCTTCTATTGATTTATAAGGGATGTTTTTACCAGTATTTTATATCTAATTTCTACACAAAATTCTGTACATTTTAATCAGACTAGAGATTGTTGTGTTTTTACATCTGTTAAAGATTTATTTCATAGACATTTTATAGAAATATACAGAATTGAGTAGATTTTTGTTTTTATAGATGTTTTCCCGTATTTTTCTAGGAAAACTGCAGTTGTAAGGTGGTTGTGGGAATTGAAATATTTTAGACAATGTAGGTGAACAAAGGTTCGGTATTATTTTTCAGATCTACGTGAAGATTGTGATGTTTTGTCTATTCTAAATTTTATACATCTTAACATTATATTTACTTATATCATATAAGAAATAAACATACTCATGCACTAAATCTAGTTTTTGTTGTTGTTACTTCATCTTTCCAAACATCATTGCTGATTTGAATATCCCACTGGACATCTAGCCATTCTTTACAAGTTACTTCTTTGTGTTTTTCACCTGTTGCATGGTTATGACTTCAAACTTAACTATTAACAAGACAAGTATATATAAGTATTAACCTGCAACCTGCCGAGTTTCTGTAATCTGCCCTAGTGATGACTTTTTTGACCTCCAATAATGACTATCAAGGTGCAGACATGGGTGTAAAATTGATATATTGTAAAAGTGTATTGTAAGTATTGATAAAGTGTACCAGTTTACAGAAAGTATGGCCAAAACAGCACATTAGGCTGTTAAACAAATACATTTACCTTTGAGCTAGAGACCTGGGTATTGTCTACTTAATAAATATCATTCTTAGCGGTGTTTAGCGGCTATTTAACACCAGCTTGGAGTTTTGACTCATATGAATTGACCCCCAAGACCGCAGTCTATAGTGACAAAATCATGAGGAGTGTTAGAATTGTATATGTCTTATGTACCAATTTATTTTGAAATCCCATCATGCATGCAGAAGATGGACCAAACACAATCCACATATTCTCTCGAAGGCACACACACTGACAAAGGTAACAACACCCCGACCCATAAAAACAAATATTTGAGGTTCCCTCTATTCATCACTTCCTATCTGAGTTGCTCTAATTAGTGAATTTTTGTTTCTATGAATGTTAAAAAAATATATATTATAATATGTATTAAAAATCCAAACTTTATTACAAATAAACTATTGTTTTAATTTGTAATTTACAAGTATTAACTGTAATTCTAAACTGCAATATATGTTTTTGCTGCAACTTCTGTATCAGATTTTACTTTGCATGAACAAACTGAGAATCCCTATCTGGACAGTGGTGAGGAGCAAATAATATCCAGTTAATGACCTTAACCAACCACACAATACAGAGGGCTCTAAACATATAGAACAAGTTTAGCAGTATGTAACGGTTCAGAACTGTTCACTAGTTAGGGGAGAAGATGTGTAAGCGGCCGGATAGCTCAGTCGGTAGAGCCGCGGTACGGTATTCCGAGGGTCCCGGGTTCGAGTCCCGGTCAGGCTTCACATTTTTCTCACCCTGTGACAAGAATATAACAAATAAGTTAAAACAATTGTGCATCATTATTTATTTAACAAAATCAGTAATTTTCAATAAAAACTGTCAGAATATCTACAAGTAATTTTCTAACCACTGACAATATAATACAAACGTATAGTCCATTCAGAACATGCACTATAATCTTAGTAAATAAAAGATTATACATGTACAGTGTTGATCACATGCAAATTTTATTTAAAGTCACAAATATAAATAATCCTTGTTGCTAAGTAACATCATTAACATTCATTTTATGCTGCAGAATACTAGGACATAGCAGATCTAATAAATAAATCCGTTATATCAATCTAATTCCCATCACTCACAATAAAATCACTGTTTGGGATATATTATTTCTTAAATATCAAATCCATAAAACATATCATATATTTTACGTATTTATTGACATAATAAACAACTTTTGACATGATTTGAATTAAAAAAAAAAATTATTTGTGTCTGTAACTTGTGATTTAATTACATTTCATCCTAAATATAAAATAATTTTCTTATAAATATCTTATTCTTCTTATATACCACAAAACAGCTTCCAAAATTCTTAATTTTCTTGCTGAAGTAAAACATAAACATTTCAAGAGTTTTATCAAAACACTGTCTTTAATATGTGTCCCTAAAGTTATAGGACTATACTGTATTACATAATTAAATCTGAATAGAAGAACATGAAACATGTTGTAATACAAACTTAATTTGTACTAATTATATACAATATTATCAAATAAACAAAATAATTCCATGTATAAATACACTGCAACTTCGTTATAACGCGGTATTTAGGAGCCATGGTGCCGAACGACGTTATAAACGGGGTTAAATTTTATAACGCGGTTTCTAAAATCGGCCGTGATCAATCACTATATCATATAGTATATGTAGTGCACGCCGTACCCCACCCACCCAATTTACATTGCACACTATAATTGACAATTTTTCCACAAAACACAATAATGAACACGAACTGAAACGCTGAATAAGTGAATTATCATTTACAAACCATGTTTTAATAATTATTAATTTGAAAAGAGATATTTGCGCAAGAAGAAAACCATTTTCAAATTAAGTAAATGCTCTTCGCGGAATTGTAACACAGTGTTACTGTGAGAATAGCGCGGTCGTGTATTTTGCATTTTAGCGACAATATAACTAATATTTCTCGATTTGTTATTCATTCAAAGCAAATAAAGGAAAACTTTATTTTAAAATGCAAAAATATAAAATCTTATTTCCATCTCGTAACGTTAATTCACGAACGCTGGTCTAGAATAGTTGCACGCGGTGTAATTACTTTTTCATTATTATTCAATTATAAATCGCTTATTTTTTCGAAAATTTTTAGAACAATTTTAATTTAACATGTCAGAAGTAAAGGGCATGACAAACTGATGCAAAATTCGTGTTTTTTTGGATGACCGATCACTATTGTGCACACGATAATTACTGTTGTGCAGACAAACTAAATTGACACGCTGTTTATTGTCACAAATTTGAAAGGAAAGGTGAAAGAACAAAGGAATAATGTTTTGAAATATTAGTGTTTTTGCTACGATGTATTTATCAATTGTTATTTTCACAGCAAGAAAGTGAGAAATGGCGATTTTCCTCAACAACATCGGTGATTTTCTTTTTTGAAATCGGCGATTCTTTTGTTCAAAATCGGCAATTTTTCGATTAAAAATTGGCGACAGTTATTAATGGTTACTTTTCAATGTGAAAAAAAAACACTAAGAAATCGAAGTTTTTTCTAGTTCATAATCGGCAGAATTTTGTTTTTCAAAATCGGCGATGTTTTTGGGAGCCACGGCCTAACCGCGTTATACCGGATATCGCATTATAATGGATGGCGGTATAACGGAGTTAGAGTGTACAATGAATGGAGGTAACAACTTAAAATATTCACTCCAGTAACAAACATTATTAAATGAACAGAAATCTACAGAACAAATTCAGGATATTTGTTTCTACGAGTCTTGAACCATGATTATCAATATTTCAGTTACATACACCAACAAATACTCATAGAAATATTCTTTCATTCTTGTACCAGCATGTATATCTCCTTCATGAATATTAATTAACCATAAGGTCATTATCATAATTACTGTCTGACCCTGGTAGCTGCAATATTTGCCCCATTAACAAGTGAATTTATTTTCTTTAGGTTAAAAATGTATTTTTATCAAAAATAATATAGATATATAATAAAATGTTCTACTGAACTAACCTGGGTTAGTTGAAACATTTGTATTCCATGCTGAAGGACATAAATATTACATTTTTTTTGTATATCAATCATAAGACATTTTAGTATTCAATACTTTTTACATCTTTTGTAAGTTATAAAGATATCACTAACATAAAACATTAATACAGAACCTCTCTACAGCGATACAAACTGATGGAAGTATAAGGTGGTAATATAGTAACAAACATGTAAACTATATGAAGACAGATATTGAATATTTATATTACACTACTATCATAAGTTGACAAATTTCTATCAATTCATTAATGTAACTATCCAGCTTAACTGATGCATAAGACCTAAAGCACTCCTCTGTGCATGAGTAGAACCACAGACATTCACTTTGCTGGCTCAATATCTTTCTCGCATGAAAGAATCGGGAAACCTTGGCAGAATCCCAACTCACAGTGGTGAAGGGCCAGAAGTTTAAAGTCAACAACCTAAACCACTCGGCCATGGACACCTTAAACATACATGTAACATAAGAATTTGAGCAGATATGAAAATCTCCATAGCAACAATACAACACAAAGTTTTAATAAAGCAGAATGAATTTGAACTTTGTAACAGAGGTAATCTACAACTTGAAAGTATAGGTGGGCAACTCTGAAGCAACCAGATATATTATAAACAATTCTGTATATCTTCATCTACATTGTATTAACAATAGTACTGCCATACACAAATACTTTAACATTGTGTTAGTTGTAGAGATATGTCATTTTAGTCCAGTATTATCACATACAATCTCTTTCCTCATACAAGAATTGTGTCAAATTCTCCTGTCGAAAGTTTCCATCTATTTTAAGTCACTTTCCTTTATATACCTATTAATTAAACACTCAAAAGATGGATCGTGTCCCATGAAATATCGGAAAACAAGTTTAGCTTCCAAACCTCCACCTAATGATAGGTATGTATCACGAAACCTGAAATACAATCAATTAAATCATTTAATAAGGTTATGATATAAAAATTTGAGACCATTTCTTGTTTTATTTGAACATACAAGATCGATCAGTAAAATGAAGCATTAAAGATATTTAAAAAGTGGTTCATTATAGCACTGCATTCCACATCAGAATTTTTGTTAGTAAAATATAAATAAATAGTTTTTATAAAGTAATCCTAAGTTCAGTGGTAATGTATCCATTTATTCTAATAAAGTTTAACTTTTCTTTATCTTAAAGTTTGTTACAGACATTTTCTTCTAGTTACCTCTGGGTTGTTGTTGTTAACTGATACACATGATAGATATTCATCGGACATTTGTCCAGACAGTATTTGTCATACATATATATACTCACCTTTTCCCAACTTTGGAGATATGTTTTTCATTATCTATACCTCCTTTCTCAAACTCTTCAAATATGTTTGCAGCCAACATCTACAAAAACAACATAGAAAATACCAATAACTTCCACCACAAATAATCTGGGCATTTGATTATTTTGATAACATTTTATTATTGCATAATTATATAAATATACATCAACGTCATGTACATCATTTACATTTCTACATACATGTATGTACAAAAGATTTAGGCAAAATGTTTTTTTTCCAAAACCCATTATCATAGGCCTTCCCCAGTGTGTTTATTAAGGTTTAGGACAAGTGTGAAGCTGTGTTTCCGATGTATATTAACATATTACATGTTCCTGGGATCGAAATTTCCACTTGTGTTTAAGAGTAACATTGGCTGCCGGGCGAATACAAAAAGAGCTGTCATTTAAACAATGTGCCTCACTATTCTCAGTGCTTGACAGTAAGAAAAGGGGCATAACTTATTAAAAAGGTAACTCAAGAGTTGTGGGACCTGTGATAATCACAGAGAACAAATGTGTGACATTTCAACCGAATCCATTCAGTAGTTTTGGAGATAACAACTTGCAAACAAAACTTAACCGAAATGTGATCGTGATGCCGACACCAATTCCAGGGTAAGTACAATACCTCCTCTAACTCTTAATATCAAGCTTAACCCGCTCGGAAAACTTAGCAGCTGCTCTGAAAATATTCCTTTAACCCTATATTGTACTATAAATGCAGTATTGCACAATTTACAGTTTACTAATGCAACATTGTATCATGTCATCAAACATAATACATTTAGTGTAAGGCATATTAACTTCATTAATTAATAAAGGATATTAACTTCATTAATTTAGTAGAGTACCAAAAAAGGTAACAACACTACACTGCCTAACAAGTTAAAGTACTTTATTCATGTCAACTTGTTTTGTACATAACTGTAAACCTGTAAACTAAGTTTAAATCTTGTATTGGTGAAAGGATTGACCTTCAAGTAACGACAATTTGTCAGACTCTTACCTCTGACCAGATGTTCTGGTAATAGGCAGCTGCATGTGATCGACCGATCCAGAGTACTGGGTCTGAGCACCAGATCCAATCCTCATTGTGAATTTCTAACGGCATAAATAAATTATACATCTCCTTCTGTACATCCTTATGGAACTTCTCTGGCCTAAATACATGTAATAATAAAGTATACATCTCTGTCCTAAATACATGTAATAATACATTATACATCGCTGTCCTAAATACATGTAATAATACATTATACATCTCTGTCCTAAATACATGTAATAATACATTATACATCTCTGACCTAAATAAATGTAATACTAAATTATACATCTCTGACCTAAATACATGTAATAATAAATTATATATCTCTGTCCTAAATACATGTAATAATACATTATACATCTCTGTCCTAAATACATGTAAAAATAAATTATACATCTCTGTCCTGAATACATGTAAAAATAAATTATATATCGCTGTCCTGAATACATGTAATAATACATTATACATCTCTGACCTAAATACATGTAATACTAAATTATACATCTCTGTCCTAAATACATGTAATAATAAATTATACATCTCTGTCCTAAATACATGTAAAAATAAATTATACATCTCTGTCCTGAATACATGTAAAAATAAATTATATATCGCTGTCCTGAATACATGTAATAATACATTATACTTCTCTGTCCTAAATACATGCAATAATAAATTATACATCTCTGTCCTAAATACATGTAAAAATAAATTATATATCGCTGTCCTGAATACATGTAAAAATACATTATACATCTCTGACCTAAATACATGCAATAATAAATTATACATCTCTGTCCTAAATACTTGTAAAAATACATATTTCCCCTTAATATATGTAATAATAAATTATACATCTTTCCCTTAAATATATGTAATAATAAATTATACATCTTTGGCCTAAATGTATGTGATTAATAATTTTAACAAAATTTACAACTGACTATGATTTTCAACAGCATCCGAATGATGAATATCCTACATCTTCTGCAGAGTAACTACCTTTGGGATGTTAATTTGATTGAACAATGACTTAATGTAATCTAGCAGATGAAAAAAATCAAAATCAAATCTTGAGCAACATTTAACATGGCAGATACATTATAAGAGAAACAGAGCCACTATCTCTAATTTAATTCAGCAGATATATAATATAGGTAAATCGAGGATAATAGTTACATTAGATATTCCTGAATCTCTAACATAAATGCAGAAAATGATTTGCCTTTGCCACAAGTATAGAGCCAGGCTAGCCCTAGTACTACCAGGCACTTTACTGTTGGATTACTATATGTTTTTATCTTGATATCCTTTATATAGATAATGGATAGTCCCAAAAATGGAAGCTGGACACGTCAATTAACAACAATCAGGGGCCAAGGATTAATTAATTTATTTATTTATTAATTAATTAATTAATCAATGAGCAGCAATAAGGAAGTCTGTCAACAGATGGTCAGATGAAGTAAAACAAATAACCATCACATTTTCAAAGTAGGTCATAGTAAATTCCTACAGAATATTCAGTTACTTACTGTAAATGACTTTCTAAATCAAAGGCACTTCTGTATAGTTCATGGCAGAAGTCATATGAAACCAGAAGATTTTGACCTGAAAATACAAAAACATGAATATCATTGTATGATTTAACTATGTATTACTGTAAGATTTAACTACATATTATTGTATGATTTAACTACATATTATTGTATGATTTAACTACATGATTATGTAAGACTTGTGCCTGCTAGCAGCAACTTATTCTTCCCATGCCACCACTGTTGACAAAAATCAGCCAGCCTTTCCATTAAATATTTTTTCCCTAAAAAAGACGAATGGTATTAACCAGATTAAAAGATGGTTGCGTCCATTAAAGACATTTAGCTTAATAAGGGTTGAACTCTTGAAATGTACAAGTACATCTGTAATAAAGTTTTATATGAAAGTTTAAAACATTTCTATCGGTGGTTCAAAACAAATAGCTCGGACAAAAAACTGGACGAAATTGACCTACAGAAAACAAGCATTCCTGTTAAGAAGTGTTATCATGCTTAAAACAAACAAAATGTTAAAGTCTACAATCATGGACATGAAGATTGTTCTTTATAACTTTTTTGAGGGGGAAAAACTCAACTGTAAATGGACTTAGTACACAAATGATATTAAAACTTATTGTAACAGATCTTTACCTGCCATAAAGATTAAAAGATGTTTCATTCAGTAAATCATATTTTACCCAAATTAATATGATAAGAAATCAAACTAACATTGTATAAGTCTGGATATTTCATCCTCTGTAAGTTTTTGTTTGGTCTGGTAGTGTTCACTCATCTCGTGTATAACATGTGGCTGCATGGCAAACATCTTCATCACGTAACTACAAACATGTACAGCATCTACCTCAATGTTCCTTTGTCCTGACACCTCACTGTACTTACATGTTGTCAACATCTGTTGTAGTGTATTGCCAAACTATAAATAAAAACACGTGTTTCATTTTCATTGTATAAAGTTATTCCATAATCCTTAACGGATTGCTAAAAATATAATTTTGACATCTTGATCTTTGCGCTACTGATCTAAATACTGCATGTGACACATTGTTTTAAGATGGTGAATGTTTTTTAAAATTAATCATGAAAGAATAACAAAAATATAATAAGGACACAATTTCGGATGTATGTACGTACCATTCTACAAAAACAAATTCTTTGTTCAACAAGGGGCCATGACAGACTCCTCATCCTTTTGACATTGAATATATATATAGTTTTTTTACCATCACCTAAACCTAATCTAATTGCTCAGGCAAATGGACAAATGAAGCATACCTTCTGAGAAATTAAAAAAAGAGAAAACTGTAGCAAAATCCACTTATATCAATTATTTACTGCCCACCTGTAAATGACTGATATACTGATATATTGTTACACTTTATATAGCAATATTATAGTGATAATAACTGGTACCGCCGGTCATAAAACATTGTTTAAAACTTCTTTGAAAGACATCAAAGTTGGCACTCAGGAAATGTGATTTTATTCAAGGTAAAGAAGAA